ATAAAATATTATAGTTTTAAATTATTTAAATTAAAATTTAATAATTTAAACTTATTTATATATTTTATGTAAAATTAAAATAATAATTTCATTAAAAATTAAATTTCAACCATTGAAATTTTGATCACAAGAGGGAAAAGGAGAAAAAAGAAAAAAAGAAAAAAAGAAAAAAAAAAAAAAGAAAAGGACAGATCCTCACTACTCTGTAATTTCCCAGCTTTTTTGCTAATCAATCACGCTTGTTAAGCTTGAATAATTAACCCAGGGGCAGTTATGCTCGTAAAACTTTTAACACATCAGCGCTTATGATTGTTTCTTATATTTTACTCCCTCCAAACCATAATATAAGTCATAGTTAATTAATTTAATTTTACAAACAATGTTAGTTAAATTTTTAAATTCCTAAAAATATCCACATCTTTACATTTATGCCCCTAAGTGGAATAAATTAATTGTATTTAAATTATTTAATTAAAATACTCTCATTAATTACATTTATTCCTTTCTACTGATTATTGCTTTTAATTCACTCGCAACGTGATGATGGGAATTGGGGTGAAGTTTAAAAGAAAATTTAAAAAAACAATAGGTGTGTGGTGTTTGGGTTTTGACATTTGGATGTTACGGGTTCCATGAAGAAAATAAAAGGGCATGCAAAATTGACTCCAAACCATGTTCCTATGTTCCATGGAAGGTTACAAGTCCCATCTCCCTATTCGTGCAAATAATGGAACCACCTCTGTCAACATGAAAGGAACACATGCAATAGCTCACATTCTTCCTTTTGACTTAAATGTAGAGGCAACCTTCACAGATGAAGATGACTCATGTATGAATGGATCTGGAAGTCAAGAGCCAAACATGCAGCTAATCATGCTCTGTTATAATGCTGCAGTAGCAAAGCACTATGAAGCAAGTCAGAATACTGGAAATTGTGAAACTAAGATTGAGGTAGGCATAAACTCCCATAAGTTTGAAAACAATGAAGGTACATCTCCCGCAATAAACCCATAAATCTCTTGCCTTTAGGATATTTTCTCTTCATGCTCAACTTATTGGACGTTCATTACGTGTATTATGTCTCATCATTCTCAACTTGTTTATCCTATCCAACTCCACAAAGTCTTCATACACGATATTATGTAGGTGATGTTATGACCAAAGCAAGTAGGCTATGGAAGCTTTTGACAAATGAACAACGTGAGTCAGTAAGTCAAATTCTACTGCATTCAACTTTCAATGGCAAGCTAAAGAGTGGCAAAGCAAACATGATTGCATCAGCATTTAAAGTTTCAAGAAGAGCTATTGAAAGAATTTGGCATCAACTAAGAGATACGAGCAATTCTCACCATGAGAAGAAAAATTGTGGCAGAAAAATCAATGAAATAGACATTGGGTGAAGAATTCTTGAAGTCCCTCTACTGAAGCTGACAACTCTTCGATATTTAGCCTGTGCATTAGACACTAAAAAATCAAAGCTCATGAGACTTTAAAAAAGGGTCTTCTTCAAAGGCACTCTAATGCAATGAAGCCTCTCCTAAATGAAAGAAACATGATTGCACAGTTGAGGTCTCCTAAATGAAAGAAACATGATTGTACAGTTGAGGTTTTGCTTGTCTATACTTGAAAACAGTAGCATGCCACATGATCCTGCTTTTAAATCTATGCAAAACATTGTTCACATAGATGAAAAGTGGTTCTAGTTGACTAAGAAGTCAATGAACGTGTATCTACTTCCACACGAGAAGAGACCGCATCGCACATGTAAAACTGGGAATTTTATTGACAATGTCATGTTTCTAGTTGTTGTTGCAAGGCCAAGATTTGATGGTGAAGGAAATGAAACTTTCTTTGGTAAAGATTGGTGTGTTTCCACTTGTCATGCAAGAGCATGCAAAGAGAAGAAGGTCTAACAGACCTGCAAGAACACTTGTGACCAAACCTATGACTTCAGTAAACAAGAGTGTCAATAAGTCATACTTGATTGGACAAGTTTTACTTGCCATCAAGTTGAAATGGCCAAGAGAGCATGTAGGAGAAACAATTTACATATAACGAGACAATGCTCCTTGTCATATTAATGTAGATGACGATGAGTCTCGTCATGCTGCAAGTAAAGGAGCCTTTGATGTTCACTTAATGTGCCAACCTCCAAACTCTGCAGATCTAAATGTCTTGGATCTTGGGTTTTTCAATGGCATACAAGCCTTACAACAAAAGGAAGCACATACCACTATAGATGGCCTAATTGAAGCTATGGATAGAGAATTTGGAAGTTTTTCATTGAATGATTCCAACAAGATCTTCCTATCATTACATGCTTCAATTGTGGAGATCATAAAGATTAAAGGTTCAAATGACCAAGGCATAAGGAAAAATTGCAAATGCAAGGTCTGCTACCAAGGCAATTGACGTGTGATAAATCCCTTGTGGAAGAAGCTTTGAAATATCTAAGAGGAGTTAGTGCTTAATGCATCCATCATTATCACCATCAAAGGAATCTTCAATCACTACATCCTCTAACAACACCGTATCTACCATGGAAGATGAGAGAGTCGATCGAAGCACAACATCATGTTCTTGTGCGGTGGTCTTTGTACCTATCTTTCGCATAGCATTGTCACTATCAAAGGAATCTTCAACTACTCCATCCTCTGACAACACCATGAAAGATGAGAGATTCAACCGAAGCACGTCATTTCGTTCTTGTGTGGCGGTATTTGTACCCATCTTTTACATAGTGGTGCCACTATTAAAGGAATCTTCAACCACTTCGTCCTTCGACAACACCATATCTACCATGGAAGATGAGAGAGCTGACCGAAGCACGTGATTTCGTTCTTGTGCGGCGGTCTTTGTGGCCATCTTTTGCACAATGACGTCACCATCAAAGGAATCTTCAACCACTGCAAAAGCTTCCTTTGGAGCATTGAATCAGACATGGAAGAAGAGAGACTCTAAAGGCCTTCAAAGACAAAGTGGAATGCGGTCACTGAAAGAAGCACGTGCATGGACCCTTAATCCTCAACCTGGGAGTGTAAACCGTTCTAATGAGTAATGATCCTTAGGAGTGGAAACATGATGGACTCAAGAATTGGTGGTTTAAATATGAAGCATTTAATTAAAGAAAGCAAGGGTATAAATTGAAAAAAAAAATTATAAAATTTACCCAATGCCCTATATTTTGACCAAGGAGTATTCCTAAAAACTGCCTTATATTATGGTTTGAAAGAAGTAAATTTTTTGATTTCAGGGAAGGAGAACCTCATGTTATGCTTGGCTAGACAAAAAAGTGGAGGAGAGAGAAAAGTGAGAAGAAATAACATTTTTTTCTACTATGGCTATGGAGAAAAAAGTTGAGATGAGAGAAAAGTAGGAAAAAAATAACATGTAAAATCTACATATTTCTTTCTCCAACTTTTCTATCCAAATATGAAAAGATTTTAAAAAGAAAATTGCATCTTTGAATTTATCTGCTAATTTCTAAATTTTATATTTATAGTGTAGTTACACTTTTTTTTTTTGCCAGAAGTATAGTTACATTTTGATCATGAACTTTTGTTAAACAAATAGTATATTTAATTTTTAAATTAATTAGACAAATGCTAATTCTAAATTTGCAATTAAATATCTTATATTTGGATGTAATTTTAAAATTTTAAGATTATTATATATTTAATAATTTAATAAATAAAATTATAAATTGGATAAAATAATGGAAGAATTACAACCAGGTGTAATTACCGTAAGGTCTATTAACAATTAAACAAAACTATATTAACAACTGACTATGTCATCAATACAATTAGCTCACTTGTTAATGAATCTTACAATAATTAATTTTTTTTTGTTTTGTGTGAGATTTCAATATAATTCTTCCAATCTTATTTCATTTTTAAGTGTTGCTTTTGCTTAAAGTTATTAAACTCAATTATCAAAATGTCACATAAAATCCCAACTAATAAAACATTAAATTCCTTAGATTTATCATATTTATCAATTTGATCATTCAAATTTAATTTTTATAAATTCATTCTTTTAAATTTATTAAATTATTATGTTATTTTTAAGTTTTCAAACACAAATTGACTCTCAAATTAATCAAATAACAAAATAATTTGACATGTATATAAAACTAAATAAGAATAAATTAACTTTCAAATAATTTAATTTTTATTAATATAGCTCCTCACTTTTCATCTTGTTCGGTTATTTTTAAAGATTTTTAAGTCTGTTGTTTCTACCTACACGATAACATTTTTTTTTCATTAATCTATGTTACTATCTTCAATATTTTATATCATCTATGTTAACATATTTTAATATTGTTTTACCTTTCCTAAACAATAAGGACCAAATCTATGCATACTCTATGATCAAATTAATAAAAATTAAACTTAGAGATATCAAATTTATAGTTGAAGCAAATTAAAAAGGTTAAAAGTTTTATTATCCCAAATCATCATTACCAGTAAAACCTATTACAGCATGAATTTATTTTCTTAAACTATCATTTACTAGAGAAGATATTTTGTACCAACAAAAATTAAATCTAGCAAAAGGATTAGTCCCTCACAATATGACAAATTGAGATTTGAACCCTTGCCGAGAGAAGGGTATACACTTAATGTCCGATAGTACCTACCTTTGTGATCACAATGAAGGAGCAGCTGAAAAAGAATGGAGGTGTTTACCAGTAAGAGCGAGAGGCAGATGGGCTTCTTATAACTTCCCTTTCGCTAGATGAAAGAGTGAGAGTCAGCTAAAAGACTCAACCGTTGAGTTAGGTTATTTGGAAGGGCAGGGCAAAGCGTGTCAGGAGCTGAGCTATCATGTTCATGATGCCTAATAAAGCCTGGGTAGAAATGGACTTTACCATCATATCAAGTTCAATGAGGTACCCTGAGGCTCCTTTTTTTTGTTCAGCAGCTATTGCTGAATGCCCCAATGTATGGACGTTGGATATAAACCTCACGCGAGGGGTGAAGGGATATAAGATCGAAATCGAAACCTCATGTTCATAACTGAAATTGAAAATCCAGATCAAATTCCTGTCTAATCTTTGCAGCTTAGGTCCTTATCAAATTCAACCATTCAAGAAAATGCTTTCCTGAACTATGTTTCCCAACACGTCCCACAGTTCTTAAAAAACAAAATAATGATATCTTCGAACAGCTCAATGTTCCCCCTTACTGCACACATTAACCAGTAACCACCACAATCATTCATATGAACGTGCATCGGTCAGGTGTCAAATCAGATACAACTTGGAAGTCATTAAATATCATGCATGGAGAAGCATAAAACATTTCCAATCAAAATTTCTTGGGGGAGAAATGCAAGAAATGGACCTAAGTCGATTCATCCATCAGTTTACTCTTCTCTGGTCATGGTCAGTGATCCTCAATCTTCTTCAAACCCTTCATGTCTGTTGTTTCGACCCTGCATTATAAGTGAAGATTCAGAAGCACGTGCCATTTCATAATAGGAAACATCTTAAACAAGAAATTACAATAAATTTATGAAACTGCTACTTCTATTTTGCTCGTCACTCTTCACTAACCCCCAGAGGGGAACAAGGACGGCTCACATGCAGTAACTCAGTACAAATCGTAGCCTGCGCTGCCACCTCATCATCTTGATGGCAATACTTTGAGACATAAGATAACTGTTTTATTAAATACCACTTCAGTATCTAGATAAACCCTATGATATATTCTTCTTGGAAGAAGGCACAAGACAATTCGTGTAGACAAGGTTGAATAAAGCCTATCTTTTCTTCAGACCCTTCACGCTGTTCACAAACTTTCAATCTTACTGAAAGTTCGTTTTAAATTATAATTGGTTTACTTACTCACTTATAACAAAACCAAAAGTATGACCAACACTCCAACAGAAAGGCATTGAAACAGGCAGGCAAAAAGTGGCAAGATCAATCAACCATCTGGGTCACATAACATGCTATTTATTTCTTTAGCTAGACACCGACACACAATAATTTGCACAAACAATCAGATATCCCTAAAGAACTTTCTAAGTGCACCATACAATTTAGTTAGGAAGGACAAAGAGATGACAGCTGATCAGGGGATGGTCATAGACTCTGATGGGTATATTCATAGCAAAGTGAGATGGACATCAAGAGATGTTTTAAAACTTACGTTGTACCATACAGCACAATCTTTTGAATCTTTGTGATCTCAGAACCCTGTTGATTGTCCTCAATAAAAATTGTCAAGCTGTTCAATTAATTAAGATCAATCAGCTGCTAGTTGAATATTTGAATAATCATAATGGAAGAAACCCAATGAAGTTAAGGGAATCAACTCACCTACGAACATTTTGGAATTTGACATACTTTAGAATTACTGGTTTCCCCTGTTAGATTACAATTGATCAATCACAGCATAATCTAATGCAAGCATGCTAGTGAAATATATCTGTAAATATCAGAAGATACCCTAAATATAGTTGGTGACTACCCACCAGAAGGTTGTCTGGAGATAAAACTGCTACATCACTAGGAGGGAAGTCACTGACATTACTGTCATTGATAAACAGTCAGCAAACAGTTGAGTCATGGGGCACAAATAATAAACAGATGCCATTTTAAATCCAGACTTCATACCTAAATCCCATGTGCTCCCTGTTGGAAAACAACTTGACAGTCTTAGGGCCTGAAAAAGAACTAGCATTAGATTCCTACTGTAATCATGGTCAACAGGAAGCACGTGCAGAAATAATAAGATCATATGTTCCAACCTAATTGCCGCTATAGTTCTGTTTAATCGATGTCCAGATTTATAGAGTGCGAGGGATATACTTAGAAAGTGTTCTAGTGAATACCTTCCTCTTCAGGTCCTCCGATAACAACGGAATAGAGTTTTACAACTTGTGTAAAAGGAATATATAGTAAAAGCTGCTCATCCGCATCACTCTCCAGATGCAAGCCATCATCTTCTCTGTAACCCTATTCACTAAACAATTAAAACTAAAAGGAAAAAAGCTAAAGAAGAAAACGAAAAGAGTCATCGAGGACATACAAACGCTAATCGCAACATGGCAAAAACAATAAAAAAATAAAAACTCTGGGTAACCCATCAAAATACCCCCAAAAAATGAATTTGAAAAATGCAACACTTTGATTTGATTTTAGAATCCTTGTTAATTCCCCTAGCCCTACTTATGTTCCAACGGTTCCGTCCGAGCAGAGGATTAAAATATAACACTCGTGTATAACTTGTTGATATGATTCTTCCCACCCTAAAAGGAGTTTTGCCAAATTTAATAACAAAATTTAACGATGAGTAAGATAAGCCATAACCAAAGTAAAAATACCTGTTTGAGAGAATTGGGAAGAGGGTTAGTAGAGCTCTGATTGAGGCATTCTACCCCAGACCAGTCTATGAAGTCTAACAGATCGACCTGATATGTCGGCCGATTGGTGGCAGCAAACCGAAACAAAAAAGAATCATTTATCTGAGATTGAAGGAATTTTAATAGCAAAAGGGAAACGAGAAGTACAAGATTTGCCCAAACAAACAGGAAAAACAGGAAAAGATCATACCTGGCTCTTGTGAATCGCACTAGCTGATTCTGCAGACATTGCTGATCGGCGCGAGAGACAGGGAAACAAGAGAGGAAGGAAAAGGGATAGAAAAGGGGAAGACTTGTTCGGGCGAGCCAAGCACGCGGCGAAGAACTGATAAACTGCATGTTTCCCGTATCAAACGACGCCGTATCGGATGAGCAAGCCACGAGTTCCATCCCCCCCCCCCCCAACCGGGTGATTGTTGTAACTTTCCAGTTTTCACTGGGAGCCTTCGCCCTTCAAGCCAGAGGAGAAATTCTTGCCTTTTTTTTTTTCCCAACGAAATATTTATTTTTTCATTAAACGCATAAATGGTCCACCATATCCAAAAACGGAAGAGAGATAAAAATAAAGAAATTCAACCACAGTTGAAACTTCTCCCAGGAAACATCTAAAAGAAATCTATGAGGAACCAGTGGTCTAGAAATCCAATCATTTGGGGCAGAACCAGTGTTAAAGCTATCAATTATAATTTTAGAATCGGCTTCAAGACAAACACCGTCAAGTTCATTTGTGCAAACAAACTCCACAGCGAGAGCCATTTGTATATACCCGTTATGTTATATTATCTATACTATATTCAATAAAAATATTATATATAATGCTAATTTAATCAAATAAAATTGATACATTATTATTTTTAATGAATTTATTTTTTGAAATAGAGTATCTTTTTAATTTTTTGTTTTTTCTTCTTTTTGTTATTATCAATGTTTATCCAACATAATATATTTTTATTGAATAGAATATGGATGATACAGTACATCGGATCTATCAAAAAAATTTTTTGTTTAGCAATTTTTTAATACTATTATATTTTTTTTATAATTGAATTTATGCAGAAGAGCAGAAAATATGCAGATAAAAAGGAATTGACAGTACATTCAAAGAAAATAGTGACAGTGAATGTGGATTATTTTGTTATGCAATTAAGGTTTGATTTTGATTGCATCCAACAATCTTCTATGTTGCAATAAATAAAGCCATTTGAGCGTAATCTCCCAAAGGCTCCGGTAAAATAAATAGCACTTAACTATATATATCATTATTTTTTAATAGTTATCTTATATTTTATTTATTTTTAATAAAGTAAGATATCTATGTAAATTCAGATTATTTTTGTTATCTTTGCTAATATTTTTAGATTATATGAATAGCATAAATAATTTTAGGATGATGGAATGTAATAAAAGGAGAACAAGATAATCAATCCCAACGAAATTTAAATCTAATAAAAAGAATTAGTTCTTTAAGGTGCTCATCTTTAACATCAAATTGTGCCTTCAACAAAATTGCTTTTATCAAGCAGATACTTGGGAGAAAGAACAAGACAACGGGGAGAAAAAGAGAGCGGTGCTAATAGGAGGAAAGGGCCAAGGAAAAAACACAAGCGATGCTGACGATAGTATACACTGAGAGAATAGCCAGGAACACACAGCTTATGGAAGGAATGTGAATATGGGAGAGTGAGTGTATGGACTATACGACATATGACAGTCATCATCCGCCATAAACTGCGCTGCCATTTATTTGTATACACATACTATACACTCTATGTTACACCCACAAATAAATAATAAGACTGAAGAAACAATCACATCAATCTGATAATTAAAGCCACCCGCCTGCCTCACTGCTAGCTGCCTGCTAATTCCACATGACCACACCAGTGGACAGCAACAGCATTACCATCCAATAGAGCCTCCCCGCACGGATTGAAATTGCTGCATCAAATATCACAATAATTAACTCTCCAAGCTTAATCTGAAATTGTCGTGCGACTCATTATGACCATTATGAATGCCTAACTTAATCTACTGCTTTAACATGCTTCTGTCGTGCTTATGCCTTGCTGTTTCCACATGTTTGTCTCCCTCAAACTCATATCACTCTTATTTTGGCTGGCATAGATAACGATAACAATGACGCCCATTGGATGTGGCATGTTTGACTTTCCACACGCACACGGTTCCTCGTCGAGGCAAACATTCTGTCTGTATTCTGTATGTTGGCTAAAGTTATATTTTTAGTCACTTTCATTCCAACGCCAGACTTCATTTCCCTGTGTCACCTACCTTCCCTATTAAATCAATCAACAAATCAACATAATTCGATGGTGGATTCATTCGGAGTCTCACCTGGATTAGCTTCACCGCCGTCACTGGAAGTTGAATCGGCCACCCTGATTCCAAGCCTTGAACAGTCGGACCCGATAGTGCCTTCCCAATTGAGTACCAAAAACTCTTTCGTCAATTCACGACTTCTTCATAAAAACCCATTTCTGGGGATAGATAAACAAGGGTGACACTAACAGTAACTATGCGCTTACATGAACTGTAACACGGGAAAACTGAAATATTGAGAAGATTGAAGTAATCCGAATCGCATTCACACGAGTGCGTACGTGTTCTGTTCCTCGTGCAATGACCCTCCCCGCAGTAAGCCCAATAGCAGGCTGACACATATTTTTGCAGAACAAATGGTTTTTTTTTAATGATAATAATAACAACTATAAGAAAAGGAAAGTATGTGCATATATGAATGAGAAGCAGTGGTGTTAAAATGCTCACGATCGAAGGCAGAGAGGTTGTAGGGATATTCCCTGTCAGGGACTGGAGGCGGAGCTGACTGGCAACCGTAGTCCAGGCTACCTGCGTGTGTTCTCTGTTATTCAGGTTCAAACGAAGAATATATATGCATCTTTCGAGTATCGGAATAGAAAAAACTGAAGAAATTAAGATGGGAATTCACATTCAGGAATGACGCATGGGAGAAAGTTGTTGGCATAGGTGTTATTGTCGTAATCTTTGGTTCGCTTCCAGCCAGAATCACATTCACAGATGAAGTTTAAGGGCAAACTTGTATTCACCACACACTTTCCCTTCCCACACTCCACTTGGTCACAAACCTTGTCTGCAACGCCCAATCAACTAAGTTAATCACTTCATGCTTCAAATTGAGAGAGAAACGAAAATAGGTATGAATACAAATTTAATTAAGCACCTAAAATATCATCCAGAGGACCTCCTTTAGCAGCCATGGGCATGAATATGACAACAACAGCTAGAAAGGCCAACAACCTGGAGGAGGCCATGCTGGTGTGTGTGTGTGTGTGTGTGTGTGTATAGAGAGAGAGAGAGAGGCAGAGAGGGGACCAAGGCAATTCAGATGAGAGGAGATCACAGGAGGATTTGTGCGCACATATACGATGGTGGCGGCCAATAAATATAGAAAATACTGTGCAGGGTTGATTCTTCTGGGTAAAGTCTAATAACTCCAGAATCATAAGAAAATGGCGGGTCGTTTCGACTATGTAAATTATTTGTTCCCTTAAATTTGCGATGACAGCTCGTTCATTACAATATTTAGTTTAGCTCTAAGTCGTCTCCTTCTTTCCACGCTATTGAAGACCTTCATGTTTGATAATGGCATTATTAAATTTGTCAACACGGGGACTGCTGATCTTACGGAATGAATAAAATATGTGTCTAGAACTTCCATCCACTGCAGCAGAACATAATAAATTGCTCGCTCCTTATCCAAACCCATTCTCTACCGTGCCAAAATTGACAGATTTTAACATGCATGATGCCACTCTTCTAGAAGAGTGAAAAGTAGGTCAGGAGTGTGTTTGATTTAAAAGGAAGAAGGAAGGGAAGAGATTTTAACAAAGGAGGGGAGAGAAAAGGAGAAGGAATCTTGCTAAACCTTCATTTGGTATGGGAAGAGAGGAGAGAGGAATCAATAATAAATTAATAATTTTATTTTTATCAATTTTAAATTGATTTTTATTTTTATTTTTACTTTGATTCATTACTAAAAATAGTTATATTATATTTTAGTAACTTTATTATTTTAAGGACATTCACGTATATTAATAACATTTTTTTAAAGAATAAATATATTTATATTATATTTTTTCAGTGTATCTAATAAAAAATATTAAAATTTTAGATAATAAAAATTACATATTAATTTTTGTAAAGTGATAAAATTTATTTAATTATAAGAAAGAAGGAGAATAATAATGCACAATTTTTTAATATCAAACACAATTTAAAATTTTTAAAATAATAAATAATTTAATTATAATTTTCTTTTTTCTCTTCCCTCCAAAAAAACCCTCAAATTGGAGGAGAAAACTAGGAGGGGAGAGGCCTCTCCCTTTAATTTTCTTAATCAAATAAAAGGTTCTCTTAATTTTTTTTTATTAAATGCCAACCAAATTATGGAAGGGGAACAAATCCCTCCCATCCCCCTTTTTTTTTTGAATAAAACTTAAAAATTATTTATAAATTGAAAACTAGACAACATAAGTAACCAAAATTCAATCAAAAGAAGAAGAGCAATCAATTATCATTCATCGCTTATTCTAATGTAATTCAAAAATTTCATCAAGTATACTTTTTTAGCAGGATCCCCTTTCTTTTAAAAACTTTCAACCAAACGCACCATTTTCAAAGATGTGTGTTTGCAGGTTGGGAGGGGGGAAGGTTGGAACGAGTAAGGAGAAAGAGGGAGTGATGAAAATGACCCGCAGGTAAAAAAACACAGAAAAAAAAAAACAAAAGAAGGACGTCAGTTGGCAATATAATATATGGCGTTGATGTGACTTAGGAGTATTATTATCTTAACACTGGACTAAATCAAAACCAAAATGTTATAACGGCATGGAGATGAGATCAAAGTCAGACGACGCACATGTTTGAACATTTAACTTCTAGAAACTCGGAATTCAGCTAATTCATATTTCACACTCGCATCTCTGATCCCCACAAACCATGTCACATCACATGTTTATTACAGTACCACCACCTTGATAAACAAGAAATTTCTTAACTAAGTGCTTCTTTACATTTTGGTTCATAACGTAACGTTTATTTTAACATATGATTCGAATAGTTAAATGTTTTTTTAATATAAAAAAGGAATATCGATCCATCCAGACTATTACAATCATTATTTAAAATAAAATGCTCCTGAGCTTTGTAGGAGGGGAGAGAATAGCGTGATGCCCCGGAGAAGCAAAACAGATCAAGTTCATCTTTCATAATCTTTTCATTTTCCATTTTTTTAGTATTTCTTTCTTGATTTCATTTTGAAGTTAAAATTCTCTTCTTTTAAGTAAATGATAATTAAATTATTATTTTTATTTTATACGCTGTTTCCATGGAAATGGAAAAAACCTAAAAAATTATAATACAATAACATAAAATCTGAATGGTCAACAAAATTTGTAGTAAAAAAAAAAAACGGAATCTAGTTTTTATCTTGTTTCCCATGGTATCATAGCGACCAAGTCCACGGTGACTGGAGGATATGGGTGAAGTTAACCGCCCCTGCCTCCAAAAGAAGAAAAGAAAATTGACTTTATGGGTTGTTTAATAAATGTATAATCGTAATGGGATCTTCACTTGTTTGTTTGAGTTTTCTTCCGAGGTTTTCTGGGAACAATTCTGCTTTCTGGATTCGGAGTAGATTTGGTGAATTAGGTGGGAGCTTCAATTGCGCATTCAGTAGCTGCCTTAGGGCTCTTGGGGGATTCAACATGACTTTGAACCACTTGCTGATAAAAATAAAGGACCGTTTAATTTTATAACCCGCTCGTAAATAATGAGAAGTGCACTTCAAAGTTTGAGGAGTACATGGAGCCGGTTGAGGGAATGGAGTGGCAAGTGGCTGTACCGGCGGAAGTCATTGCAGGCCGAAGCTATTTATAATAATCAATCCTACTATTACTGAACATGCACAAGAATGACACCAAACCATGAAACCAATACACACACACATATATATATGATCAGGAAGCTTAGCTCCAATATTCAAGCGTTCCCAACTCTAACATTGCTTGGTGCAAATGGGGAAGGCGAGCGAGTGGATCAGAAACTTGCTGGTAGGAAAGAAGCAAGAGAAATACAAGCAGATCGGACAGAAGGGCGACGGTGAGACGGAGAGCCACAGCCCCAGAGTGAAGCGCCGATGGAGCTTCGGAAGAAAATCGGTCAAGGTAACAGAGCATAGATTGTCCGCCTCTTTCGATTTAACTGACTCCGCTAAGCTCCGAATACGGGAGATCCTCCAAGCTCAACCTCGCAGATCTTCTGACATCCAAAACGCCGCCGCTACTAAGATTCAAGCTGCTTTTCGCGCATATTTGGTATCATTACGTTTCCCGCATTCTGTATTGCAGCTTTGCTTGCATTCCAAGTTTTAGGCACTCGCGTGTCCGTGGAGTTAACACAGTTCGAACAAAATTTCTCAGGGAAGAAGAGCATTGCATGCTCTGAGGGGACTAGTCAAGTTGCAGGCATTAGTGAGAGGGCACCTTGTAAGGAAGCAGACAACCAACGCACTGCGCGGCATGCATGCCTTGATGACCATTCAAGTCAGAGCCCGAATCCTCCGAATCCTGATGGCTCAACAATCAAGCCTTCTAGAGAAGCAGCCTTCACAGCTTAGAGTAATGCCTCTCCCCACAAGTTACGTGCAAGATTATGAAGTGAGCTTTCCTCAAACCTTTCTGCTTAACTTTGATATGAATTAATTTGATGCTAAGGGAATTCCCGTCTCTTGGGAATGGTTTGTGCAGGAATCAAAGCATACGAATCTGAGAGAAACGTTAGGAGTTTTAAAAACCAGAAGTGCCCGTCTAGACGGTCCACCTCGTAAGAGCACAGAGCATGATTCCGGGACGTTGATTTCAAAGCATCTTTCGGATCTTTCGGTTTGGAAGCGACTCCATCAATACTCAGCACCAAACAGCCCTGCGGACTGCATGACCATGTCTGGATTAACTCCAACGGAGGGCTTGTCCACTTCTCTGCGTCATCACCAATCGTATTCACGCGAACCGAATTACATGACAAGAACAGTGTCATCAAGGGCCAAAGCTCGGTCTGAGAGTGAGCCAAAACAATGACTCGGGCGTGGGATCAGGCACATGATCAAGCCTATAGAACCATTGGATGGTCGAACGCTGCGTTCATTCTCAAACTCCAGACGTTTCAACCTTGGATAATTTGAGCGTTCATTCTCATTGAAGGTTGCCGGGTCCATAACAGGGCGAGAAATTGAATTCGAAGGGTTAGTGCTTTCTTGGAAGAATGGCTGGCTGGTACGCTTCTGTCGTAATTTCAAATGTTAGTTGTAGTTGTAGCGTAGCGCTTTCGAGTCATGACCGAGTCCGGGTCCGTATCACCGACCAATTACATACTTGTCGGAGCAGAACTGTAGTAGTGAAGCAATATCATGAATTATCTGCACGCAGGATGGAATGGGTAACCCATCCAAGCATCGAAAAAGCAGCACAATGCCATGATGCTTCGCGAACCAAAATTTTAAATTGGAGTAACTTATGAACAAACTTTCTTCTTGTAATTGGAGTTTTTCTCTTTCATTTTGTAGATTTACCCTTCCATTCACTATAAATCACTGCGTATAAGACTCGTCACGCTGCATGTGATTTTCTCATCTAGTTGAAGGAAAAAAAACCGCAGCGGCAGGGTAAACTTGGAAGCACCATCAGCGTCGCCTTCAAGTTTATTTCACAAGTGATTGCTCGACATAATGTTATTTAAAAAAAAAAAAAAAAGAATCAGTCAGTCAGGAATTATATTATGAAGATGTCTGTTTCTTCCTCAATTTTCAGATTGTGTCCTTGGCATAACATGATTCGGTAACTGGGGAAAAATGTTTGCCGAATCCTTACAATCTACAAAACCAGCAGCAATCTAGTTCCCGACATTCTACGAAAAGGCTAAAAAAATATATATATCAAACTCTACAAAGTGGTTACGAGTTAGAATGATAACTCAAGTACAGTAGTTTAAACTTCAAAGGGATTCTTCACGGTTGAGTGTTTTCCTTGAAGCTTTTACTCAACCATATAGCAGTTTCACGTGGAGAGACCTTCCCAGGTCCAAACGGCTTCAACAAGACCCCAAGTTCTTCATATCTTTCCTGCTGTAGCAACCTTGCACTAAATTCCAGCAACCCTTCTAAGGCTTCAGCTCTTTGTTGATATGATGAAGTGTCAAAATGCCTGCGGCGCCAGTCTGAAGAGGTATGGCTTGATGCACCGGCAGTTGCATTTTGATCAGAGGAGCCGCTTTTCACCTCATCATTTTCCTCATACACGCTGCATTTGGTTCTTTGCAAGGCATCGGTCAAACTAGGCCTGACAGCAGCTCTATCAGATACCTCAACAGTGCATTTATCTTTCATGATTGAACGATCACCACAGGGCGGGGAGACTGACGAACCCTGTGCAGAGGTTGATGAAGTTCTATTAACGGGAAACAGTGGACCCTCAAACGATGTTAATGGGAATTCAGCTATCCTGTCAATTCGGGGAGAGTTTACTGAAATATGAGGTGATTTTGCATGGCCAAGAACAGCACCTCTTTCTGGTAACGGAAATGATGCTCTGCGAGTTGCATGGAGCGATTTTCTGGCATTGTGTGAAATAGGATGCTGCAAGCAATCATTTAAGTAAAAAAAAAACAAAGAAAAAAAGAAACTTCATATAATATAGCATCTATTAACACAACCTGTCCCCTTCTCCCTCAGCCCAAGAAAAAACACCAAAAAATCTGCAAACTTCTATTATGTCTTACCAGCTCACGATTCCTTGAAAACTCCATCTGTTTCTTAGGGCTGGCAAAAGTTTTTGACGATGTCAATCTTGGAGTTCTGGAAATGCTTGAATTCCTGGAAACACCAGGCTTACGGATTTTGTTCACTCCAGGGCTATCCCCAACGCACAGTTCTGCTAGCGGGTGATTCAAATGATCCGGAGTGCAATCTATTTCTAAGGTAGAGCATGCAGAATCTTGCTCAGCTCCAGATATGCTAGGATTCAAAGTCCGGTCATTTTTAAAAGAATTCCACTTATCCCTGCAGGTGGAAGTAGGATCATCTCCTGGCTCCACAAATCTAGTTTTCTTCGTGTATTTGGAGCCTGGCCAATGGGCCGGGAGCGTACTTCGTCTGGGGTTACTGATTTTAAAATGGATCTTGAGAATGTAAGGTTGAAGATGAGGGTGCCCAAGCAACTCTGCGGCCTGCCACCACAAATACACTTCAAATGGAAAAATAGTTCCATGCAACAGATTGAATCTGTCTGCAACTACTTGAGTGTCAGTGAATAGTGCATCAACCAGCAGCATACAGTTGATCAATGACAAAGCCAATTACACATTATGCACAGTGTCGCATGTTATTCATAGTACATAAATTATTATAGGTCAGAAGAGAACCAAAGAATATACATACACTAGGTCTAAGCTCTGGATTTTTCCGCAGCATGCTTTTAACAAGACCACGACTGCCAAAAGGAAATAAAAATATTATTACATCAACTGTATTATCCATAATATAACCATTGATATATATTATTTTACATGAAAGCCCGCTTTCAATGGTCATTTTTAAAAAAATGAAAATGAAAATGATGGATCCATTCAAAGAATGCTGTCCAATACAAAAAGAGCCCTGGTGTTACAAAAGAAGAGACCAAGGGCCAAGGATACAAAACAGACCAAGCTTCAAAAAACTAAGTGGCCTGATTACTATTCAAAGTCTTATACATATCAAGAGCTCTGAGAGTATGGCTAGCATTAGGTATGACTTCATTGAATAGGCTATAAACATTTAAGTGTTCTGTAGAAAGATCCCTCTGTTTCTCATATCCCATATTTGCTAGCACATAATGCCGAAGGTTAGCCTCCATGTCAGACTGTTACCACAAGGGTGGATGTTGGAGGTAAACCACTTTCAATTGTCTTTAAAACTTTAACTAACCAACAGTTGGTATTATTGGGCAATTTAAGCCGCTAGGCTTATGGGAATGCTATCTATGCCAATGCAAGCCTCGCAAATGTGATTTGCCACAGGCAAAATTAACCAAAATAACTAAAATTGATGAAGAAAGGAAAAACTTACAATGCACCAGAATACTTTGTTGGCAGTGGGGCCACTATGGACTTGTTAATCTTGTTTATCAGTGCTTGTATATCCTGCTTGATGAAATTAAAAAGTAAAAAGAAAATTTAATAAAGATGCAAGTTAGAATTCTACAAGTCTTCCAGAGATCATAAAGCCATGCACAAAGTTGCGTGCTGCCATGCTCATAACTGAGTGAAAATATGCTCAATGGTCAATAAACTACCAAATTCTAAAACATCAAATTTGGAAAAAGGGTGAAACTAAGTTAATAATAGCACTAAGCATTTCTTTTTTAAAAAAATCTCTATTGAAACTTGAGTTCAGCGTTCAGTTCACAGAACAAAAAATTGTTGACAGGAGTAATGTAATGAAAATTTCAGACGATTAGTTTCATCCAATACACAATAAACTGAATTATTTTCATAAAGCAGTTGAGATGATAGTGTTAAACAAGCTCCGAAAAGACAAGCTAGAGATAAACGAACTTTTTAGCCAAGGGAAAAAAAAACTTACAAATGCTTTAAAAGCAGGCTTATGTGCCGTCATTTCATATATACAACATCCTGGATGGCACATTTTAGAGGTCATTAATACATACTAGTTAACAAGACAATGAGAAATTTACCAAGGAGAAATAATCATATAATTTGCAGATACTTACCCAAAGACCAAATATCTGATTTAGAACCATAAGGAATATCAGCAAGGAGCTCAGGGCACATGTAGCTAGGTGTTCCCACGACCTAAGTCAAAAGACAAAGCAAAACCACTCTTATCATTAATTAATGATCCCAAGTCATGCCAAAGTCACAATCAGAAGTTTAACTCAATTTATATCTTCCAAAAATCTTACAGAAGAAGCAAGATCATCTGAAGTCAACATTTTGGCAAGTCCAAAATCACCTGCTTGATCATTAAGTTCTTGTAAGCAAAATCGCCATGTCCATTTTCTTTCCCATAAAAAAAAAAAAAGTAGTCTTCTTGGCTGAGAAACAACAGAGCAACTTACCAAGGCGTATGTCTTGATCTTTCGTCAAAAATATATTCGAACACTGATCAGTATCATGTGATTTTTTTTTCCATTAGTATACAGCTTTAGAGAACCAGGAACAAATAATATCACTACTACTAATTACAAAGAGATAACTGCAGCTCACCTTGACATCCCGATGAAGAATATGGTTCATGTGCAAGTAGTCAAGTGCCATAAGAAGCTGAACAAGCCACTTGCAAAGTTTCTGCAGACAGAGAGTGCTTCAAGACATGCATATCCAAATGCTAATAGATATTTTAGCCCATTTCCTCTTACCGACTTACCCCCCGGGGGGGGGGTAAATGAAGATATATTGTGGATTCAGCAGGGACAAAACAAATTGGTATTACCTCCTCTGGAAAAAGAATTCCATTTGCTTTTTTTATAGCTTCCGCCCTGTAATTCAATCCATATTGATTTTAATAACGCTAACAATGCTACAATTTACAAAAGTCACCAAATAGAAGGAGAAAGAACTATGAATTGCAAGAAAGAAGGAGTTAAAGAAAAGGACTTACATATCTCCACCCTCACAGTAACCTATAATGATGCACACATAGCAACCCTGAGAAGCAAAGCATCAACACACACCAACATGAAGCAGTTGTGATTAATTTTTGTATTGCCCGCAACAATAATAAATAAAGCACAAATTCTTATCATAGAAGGAAATAGACAAATCAACAATAATGAGAGGTGTGTGAAATTTTATGTTTAAACAAGTAAGAAAGTTAACGTGAATATATTCGTTGAAGATTAATACGAACCATCAAGCTCAACAGTATTACACTACGTGAATGAAACAAACAACATATTCAACGTTGGTGTTGCCTAAGATAAGACCAAGAATTAAATTTCTTGAATTCTTTTACAGAGACCGCTAAAAGCTTGAGGGTAAGCTTCAAGCAGAAAGCATTCTAGTAATTAACTGAAGGAGATAAAGTGATTACCTTCTCTACCCATGAATCTTTATACTCCACAATAAATGGATTTCTGAACTTAGAGATTAGCTCCATCTATAAAGGCAAAGAACTGAGATGTAAGAGACATCATAATTCACTTGTTAAAATCATTATCCAGCACTAACCTCCTGGTGCGCAGATCTACGAGACCGCTCAGTTTGGCGGGCCAGGCGGATCTTCTTCAGCACATATCTATATTAAAAGAAAAAGAAAACAGCACTTTCAGCAATGCATTATGACATCGGCTTTGCATGATCATAATAGTTTAAAGTAGATAATTTAGCAGAAACAAATGAAAAGGCAATACGGGTTTCTTTCTCACTTCTTCTTCTCATGCTTATGCCTCACAAGAAGAGCAGAACCAAAAGCACCTTTTCCAATTTGCTCCAGTATTTCATACTGCTCCATGAGTTCAACAAGAGATTAACCTTCTCCTAGAAGCAAACCAAATTTAGCAAGTTTGGTCCTTATGAAAAGGTGAAAAAAGAAAATAGCTAAGCCGTACTGGAAAGTCGAAGCATCAACAATCGAAAAAAAGGGACGAAGTTAATAGTGGTTCTAAATGACCTTTTTTCCTTCTCTTTATAGTTTATACTTTCTCAAGAAATAAGAAAAGAGGATTGCAATGCAGTAGTGATTATTCACAAAACTGTATCCAACGCCCAGGTATCTATAATAAAATCAAGAAGAGAGAAAAAATAAACAGCGAGTGTTGAGGGGGGGGGGATACCGCAAGCTTATAAAGCTGGCCAGTCACTATGAACAATATACAGCAAAGTTAAGATGATGAGGTCTATGAAAAACAGACATTGGATCACATCAAGTTAACCATGAAAGTTCAAGGATCAAAGGGAAAAACTCTAAACAAAACTTTAGCAACGTATTTTGAATTTGACCAAAAATAGTAATTGGACAGAATAATGGTGGATAATTGATGCTACGTTCGACCAGCAGAGGCCCGACGAAGCACCGGCGATAGAACTCTGGCAAACAAATTGGTGGTAATAGGAAGATAAAAAAAACGCCATGTTCCTTTCCCTATACATACATACATATGCATATACATATATATATATATATATTCAAACAGACTAACATTGCCGATAATGCGATTAAGGCATTGCAAAAAGCAAGGAAGAAAGTAAATTATAACAGACAGAGAGTGTCTCAAAGTCAAATACGGGAGAAAATAATAAAATCGAAGTAAATCGAAGCAAGCACTAAAATGCAACCGTGAAAATAGCAAACGCAGGAACCAAAGACGAATCGAGATAGTGGATAAACATATATAGAAGAGTAACGAAGGGCTCGGAGAGGGTAAAATCAAGAGGCGATTGAACTTCGAACAAGAGGAAAATAGGGAAGACATAATGCACCTGAGTACAGTAAGAAGTGAGACAGATCGAAGGGATTCAAAACGAGAGGAGAAGAGAAGAAGCTGAGAATGAGAGCCGTGACATGGGTAGAAGAGCTGGAAGACGAAAGCGCAGTTGAGGAAGGAGCAAAGGAAGAAGTAGCGGCAGCAGAGGAAGTAGAAGAAGAGCTCCGCCATTCTCGTTGGGAGTAAAAAAAGGGCAGAGAGAGTGGGGGGGGGGGATGTGCGAGTGTGAGATTATTATAATGTAATTTATGAAAGCGAGGGATAGTATGCCAGAGGCAGGGGGGAGCCCCGGGAGAGATTTTGGGTGTTAGATGCGGAACATGAAAGTGTTGGAAGGCAGGAAAAGAAACGATGGGGTCAACATGGAAGTGAATACTGATGACCAGGCCTTCTAAAGATGTAGGAGTTGTTATTTATTGACTACTACTATATCATTATAGGTGTTGTGTCGAAAGAAGCAGAAAGTAAAAAGAAGGGAAGGTGGGGGTGTCTCCAAGTCACAGCTACAGTGTCGACACCTTCTGAGTACGCTGCGTGCGTTCAACTTTATCGATCCCTTTCTTTTTGTCGTTGCTTCATGCCCTTGCCGCTCAACTACTCAAATTTATCCTTTCTTTATTTCTAGCTCTAGGGATCCGCTTCCGTTGCCATTTTTTCTCCAACTCTGGGTGCAAGTGCAACAAAGCCACGCAAATTATTCCACGTGTTACTGCTTTCATAGCCTCCTCAAAAACACCAGAGCCAGTTCCGCTGCACTAGTTGTAGGCTTAAACATGTCTAGTGAGATCCTCAAAATATAATAACATATTATTATCATTGTTAATACGATCTAATAAAATTGGTAAACACCTCCCTCCTCCAATCGACCTTTTTTTTTAATCTTGACCAGTTTGAAGGAGACTGGCTAAGTGAATTAAAAAAAAAACACACAATAAGATAAACCACGCTACGATTTTGCGTAATTAAAAAAAAAAAATATGTTCAGCGCATGGTTATTTTTGTCGTTATAACTACATGTTTGAATTTGTTTTTTTTTTTACCTTAAATGAATGATATCACTTGATGGAGGGTTGTGAAGATTCACAATAAATTTTTGTCAAACGACTAGATTGTGATTATTGATAATTAATTGATAGTACAATGCCGCTCTTCTTGTTTTGTTTCGGGAGGAACAATACACATGGAAGGGGAACATACACTGTTGTCAGGAATTATAAGGTACGAAAACGGAGGGAAGGAAGTAGAATAAGGAAAATTGAGTTGGGATTGATGAGGAGATGTTGGAGGACAGTGGAGGCAGATAGAGAAGCGAGAGGCATTAAAGCACTCACCAGAGAGAAATGCGATGAAGTTTGCTGGGCTCTTTTTCACGGCCCTATAATAACGCACCTAACACTGTACCGCCATCTCCTGCCTTCCCTTCTCATTTTTCTCCTCATGCCACGCCCCAGCTCTCCTTTACTCTCTCCAACTTAAATTGACATCAATAGTTAACGAAATATAAGAAATAATTTGTTCGGCAAATACGGTAACAATGGCCAATGGGCGTCAGGGGATGAAAATCTTACTTGCATTTCAGTAAATTAACTCATCTCGCCGCTCCCTTCGCTCTCGCCCGCTTTTTTTCCAACCAAATGGGCCCCATCTTCATAACTGCATCAATGGATGTATATGCCCAACGGTACTGATTCATCTTGTCAACAGACCCTACGAATTCTTCATGCAATCATCCGCTTCCCCCTGCATACCGCATCATTCATTAATTATTCAACTCGAATCTGGATTCCAATACACACACACACACTCGTAGCATTAATCATCCCAAGCCTGGCTCATGCAGCGAGGCACTCATCATTTGTCTCCTACCCTGGATTCTGAAAAAACACGGCGAATAATTAAAGACATTCATGTCCGGGGAAAACGGTTTACAGGCGTCACATGACTCCCGGATCTCAACCGCGACAAGAGAGACCCGGTTCTGGAAAAGGGTCTCCGCATCCAATATTCGTTGTTACCACGGTGGGTGGTCAAAAGGGCTTCATTTCACACGACGCACCAAAAAGAGCATGCAAAAGTAGACCAACCCGCTGGTCATTCAGTTGGATGCTTGTGATCCCTTTTTCGCATCTCGTGATATTAAGAATGCCCAGCTTTTTATGTGACCCTGTGCTCTTTTTCTTCTCGCACAATTTAATTCGGACTTGATCTTTTTTTGGGTTAAAAGCCGTGCTGTTGGGGGTTGCCTTAACTTGCCTCATGGCCGGCTCCTGAAAATAGATGCCCATTCGTCGCTAAAAGACAAGTTCGATTGTTGATAATTAGTTGTCCTGGCCACAGTGTCACATTTTCATTTTAAAAAAGTCCTGAGTTCAAATTCAATATTGACACAGTGCATATGTGAGTGTGTGTATCTTCCTTTCACAAGGAACAAGAATGTTAGATTAGGGGTAAAATTAAAAGGGGGAGGACAAGTTTGATTTTTCTGCTACATCCAGTGGCAGATGGAGGACCCTGAGCGCCAGCGGGGGCAACACACACACACACGCACATATATATAAGAAATAGTGATACTTATTATTAGATAAGGTTAATCAAACTTTTAGTCCTAGAAAACTTATTATCAGCCTTTTTTCTTTTTTTTTAAATACACATCAGATATTAACTGACACATTACATACAATTAATGATGCTATTATTTACGTCAGCATAATTAATATCATTAATGTCACATCAATATCTCTTTGAGCATATAAAGACCTAATGTGTAGTTGGAAAGAACTATAGGGATTTAGAGCACCTAAAATAAAAATACAGAGATTAATAATAAATCGCATGTACATTGTAAAAATTAAAGTTATGTTTTTCTTAAAGTTAAATATATAAACATAAAAAAATCACATGTGCAACCAAATCAATTGGGTTTGATTTAAAATTTTGAACTTTGATGGCAAGTTTTCTAGATTTATCTTAATTTGTTGTTTATTGTGTGGAAAATTTTATTCATGAAATTTAGATAATCGAAGATTGTTTCTCTACAATTTTTTGTTAAAACTATTTTACTTTCTATGCTTTTTATTAAAAAAAAAATCAATCTGCTTATATCCCATCTTATGTTTTTTTAATATAAGCAAAATATATTTTATTAATTAATATCAAAAAATTATTTAACTCAAAACATACTATAGAGTAAAAGCTTTTTTTGATGATAAAATAGAAATAAAAAAATTGAAAGGACTGAATAGTCTAAATCAAAATAACATGTTTATATATTTTGCAATCTTCAACAACATGTGGAATGGGCCAAATACCCAAAAGAATAGCAAATGGAAGAAATAAATATATTAAAAGAAAAACAACTCCACTTATCCCTTCACCACCACAATCACAATGCCCCCCCTTCTCTCTCAAGTCGCCAACACTCTCAATCTCTCTCCTACATTGAGCTTCCTTATTCCTCTTGTCTGATAATACAAGCAGCTAAACACATAACTATATTTATAATTAACTTTATTCAAACTAATAACTGGTCTTATTTTTTATATCAACATTAATTTAAGTTAGTATAATATCCAATTAATACTCTTTCATCTTCTTCCTTCTGTTTCCTTCTCAACTTTGTCCAATGGGCGCAATTTGACGGTTTGTGTCGGGGCAAGATACTCATGTCAATGACAAAATTCAACTAATTTTTTTAAAATTTGAAGGGGCGGGCATTTGCCTACAGCATACATCCACCATTGGCTACATCCTAACGTGTTTGCCCGCTTCCAACGGCATACTCTCCATGTCTACAATAACAACCATTGCATGCCTCAGCATTAGGAATCTATTAGTCTAGTGATGATACCTGACATCGATATCAATGTTAATGTTAACGTTAACAGCAGGGAGTTCATGTCTGTTAGCATTTGGTAATGGGAAGCACGTCGTTGCCAGTTTTAGTACATGGGTTAGACTTGCGAGAGTGTCGTTCGGAGTCCATCAGAAATGTATGTGGAAGCCCAGGCCTGGGCGGGGTGGGTGGGCTTGAGATGGAGCTAGGAAGCTCGTGGCATTGCTGAGTCGAGGCAGTTGACGGCAGTGATGAAGTCTGACCTTGGTCGCCAAAACGGGATGGAGGGATGATTGTGGGGGCCCACAAATGCACGTGGAAGTCCATGATGCTGGGGGAATGCAGAACGGAACAAAAGAGCGGCACATGTGAAGCGAGGAATGCGTGAGCCTCAGAAAAGACAAAGTGGGACCCCCTGCCCCATTAAAACGTGACGCCATGGGCATCAGCATGAGCACCCCCCGTACCTTATCCCAACATGCAGTTTATAAGCTGTACCCGGACTCACCCTAGTTCAGATGCACCCCACCGGCACCTTCTTTTTTGACTTCCATGCACTTCTTCTCCACTTTGTATAGTCACATAATAAGAGTTGAATTTAAAAGCTCTCTTTAAATAAAAAATTAACTCTTAAAAATTAAATTTTATTTTAAATAATCAGGTTTAAAAGTTTGATCTTAATAAATCATGTAAAAAAAAGGTCTGGACTTAGGCGGCTCTTCAAATCCTATTTGTTCGTAAAAAACAAACAATCAATCAGCGTGGTGTCGCGAGGCGTGTCAGAGGCGCGGGGTCTTAAAAAGATGAAAGAACCTGATTTCTAATCAAAAGCGGGGAACTCGAGCTCCCTTACCACAGTTCACCCGTATGTGAGAATGTGAAATAAAGAACACTAATATAGATGTAAAAATGCAGAGATGCATTAATTAAAAAAATAGGTGGTAAACTATGTCGACCGTACAATGAAAAGTAAATACTAAAACTATATGATAAAAAAAATAAAATAGTAGACGCAGAGTCTAACACTGACAGTTTGTTAATGTTGGTAATGATTCTCCTTGTTAAAAGAGAGCTCCTCTATTTATAGATAATCTTGGCTTGGTACTCAAGCCCCATGATCACCACTTTTATTGAATTTAGGAAGCACTTCTTCCATCATGTTCACTCATCATGGATGATGGTCTTGACTTAATGGTTAAGGCTTCATAAATATTCTTTTTTTATATAATTATTTTAAAGCCAATTAAGTTGAGTTGGGCCAGGGCCTTCAAATTCATAGTTTGGGTACAAATAATGCCCCACGCATACAAATTGGTTAGAGTTTTTGTAGGCCAATTTTGTATGGATATATCTTAAAAGACTGGCTTATTCTTGTTCTAATTAATAGTTGATCTTGTATTTTTTTGAAGGACACTCTTGTGATTAAGAATTAAGGACCATGTGGTCCAGCTTATGGTCAAGTTTCTTAAGGTTTAGCACCTCAAGAGCTGATTTTGGAATTGGCCCTTCGAGTTTTTAGACTTTAAAAACTAACTCTGTAAAATCCAGTTGTTGTAAGGCCCCTATGGAGAGAGTCTTTCAGGAGAGAGCTCTCATGGAAAGGGTCCTTACAAAACATACCTTTTTGACTTTAGCCCTTGCAGTGCCGACCCTTATGGCTACAGCCCTCTAATGCTAGTTCCAATGGCTTTAGCCCTGATGACTCCGACCCTTCTAATGTTGGCTCCAATGGCTTTGACCCCGATGACTTCGACTCTTGTGGCACTGGCCCTGTAGTGCTGGCCCCAATGGCTTTGGCCTCGATGACTTCAGTCCTTGTGGCTCTGGCACCTCTGATGCTGACCCCAGTGTCCTCGACTCCGATGGTACTGACCCCAATGGCTTTGGCCCTTGTGGCCGAACAGACCTGCTATTGAATTAGACCTGCCATTTATCTTTTAAGGAATGTTATAGCAGTCGTCGTTATTGATCTTTTGGTTGAGGGGCACTTTGGGAGATTACCCTGAGTCTATCTATTCTCTGAAGGTGTGAGCCAATCGGAGCTTGTTTCTGCAACGATCTAAATAGCATAGGAAGGATATTTCTTAGCCCCTCCTTCAGGGTTTGCAGCAGAGCTCTTTGCCTCTCGTTAGCTCATACTTCACATTCTGCGTGTACAACCACGTTTTTTGAGTCATAAAACTTAGGTCTATTCTTTCATAATATATTAATCCTCATGTGTCCCAGGCATTTCTTTCATATGAGTCCCACCATACGTGCCAAAAATTATTCATAAAAAACAAACAATCAATCAGGTGTGGTGTCGCGAGGCATGCCAGAGGCCAGGGTCTCAAAAGGATGGATGGAAGAACCTGATTTCTAATTAAATACAAGGAACTTGAGCTCCCTTACCACAGTTCACCGGATTTGGGAATGTGAAGTGAATAACACTAATGTAGATGCAAAAAAGCAGAAATGTATTAATTAAAGAAATAGGTGGCGGGCTATGCCAGCCGTACAACGAAAAGTAAAAGCTAAAACTACATAATAAAAAAAATAAAGTAGCAGACGCGGAGTTTGAGACTGATAGTTTGTTGATACTGACGATGATGTCCCTCGTTGAGAGTAAGCTCCTCTATTTATAGATGATCCTGACTTGGTGTCCAAGCCCCATGATCGCCACTTTCCTTGAATTTAGGAAGCACTTCCTCCATCATGTTCACTCATCATAGGTGATGGTCTTAACTTAATGGCTAAGATTTTATAAATATTCTTTTTTTATATAATTATTTTAAAGTCAATTAAGTTGAGTTAGGTTAGGGCCTCCAAATTTACAATTTAGGTGTAAACACTATTATCTTATTATTAATTTATTTTTTGAAGTACTATGTTTGAAAAAGGGACTTTGTTGAACTTTAAATTCACTTTACTTTTTAAATATTAAAGAAATTAAATTAAGCAATCTCCTCTTACTTCTCCTTGCTCGTCTCTCCCTCACCCCCTCAGCCAGTCAACCACTCAACCTTATACCTCTTGTTCCTCATCTCTACCTCACAGGTCACGCCCTACATATAAGAGATTTAATATATATATATATATATAAAATTAATAATGATACAATTTGATAAATATCTATTGTAGATAATGAATAAAAAATTGTAAAGATAATTGATATTGAATCTTAACTTTCATTTTTAATGAATGGACCTACATATGAGAAATTTAATATTTTATTTTTAGACGATGAGGAGAGAATTTATATTTATATTGATAAAGATTTTAATCTTTATCTTAAATTTAAAATTTTAAATCTTTATTAAATTTTATGTGAGATTTTAATTTATTTTATATTAAATACTAACAATTTTTATTTAAATTAGAATATTAATTTTTTTGTTAAAAAGACTTGCAGACTTCACCTTAAGTTTTTTGAATATAATTTGCCTCTCAAGATTAGATCAAATTTTAGTTAACCGGACACGGGCTCTTAGGGATTTCCAGCCCTAGCTATAGGCAGCGAATCACTCATCAGAGATTTCGTTCGTATTTCAAAAGCGAACGTCCTCGGAACGTCAACGCAAATTCAAGAACGAAATGGAACACCGTTTAAATGTAACTCCATTTACACGTACTCCTGCAAATTCTCCTTGTTTTACAAGTACACCCGAGAAATGAAGGCGTGGCGTGGGGTGGATTAGCGACCCAACATCCTCTCTTTCCGCTAACGCAATGCAGGCTAGCTCCCTTGGGAACGCGGCTGCTAGGTGCGATGCGTGATTGTGAATATCATATCAACGGTCATAGCGATCAGCGGTGAACGAGGATGATTTCTACACGAAAATATATGTACGGCCACCCGTTGACAGTGACCATTCAATTTGTACCGTCCCCTTTCTTCATTAATATTCATCACCAATAGCTCTTTTTTTTTTTTTTGCAAAAATAGGTATTTCAATTTAGTAAGACGTTGAATTTGCTCACTGCACACTGCGAATCCGCCGTCCTACAATTTTAAGGAGGGTCTTCCATCGTTTCATAACTCCTGAATCGCGTATTTATAAGTAACAGTTGTATCAAACCCCGTGTGCATTATTAAGAGTGCTCCACGTTTAGCCATCACCTGTGTTTGAAAGGACTGATAATTCTTTTCGCTTTTTATTAGTTTCAGCCCCCGCTAAAAGGCTAGAATGTCTCAAAGAATGTCCCTCCTCCTTTTTCCCTGATGGTCATCGTCTTCGATGTGTTAATGCATATATATTTAAAACTTGCACCTGAGTAGAACACGGTTCTCGTCTCTCAGTTGTCGGTGCTCGTGCTACTCGCCAAAATTTAAGTCCTTTAATATATATGTGTGCGCGCGCGCGCACCCGGATACATTAATTATAATGATCTATGCTGTTGATCAATAGCGAAGGAATCAACAAAAGAAAGCTTTTAAAAAAAAGGGACGCTTAATTATTATATGCCATGGAAATGGAGAAATGAATAATTAAAACAGATCGATAATCCACATGCATGCAAAACTTCAGGTGCACTGCATCGCAGTATTCTCACCTTCATCGACGTGAATAACTTGGTGGGAAGGTTGAGCTTGGGGCTGTGGTGGGATTTGAGGGGGACTCGGAGGTGAAACCATTTGGCTCGCTGGCCTTAATAATTCAGATTGATCAGGAACAAGCTTTCCTTGAGAATACAAAGTGGCGAGGAGGTGGAAATAAGGACAAGTCCTGGAGTCGCGCGTTCTCTTCTTGTTAATATCCTTGGTTTTTCTGAAGTACTTGTTTATGTTCTCCCATTTTTCTTTGCACCTCTTTGCACTTCTCCTGTATCCCAAATCTGACATCCCTTGCGAGATTCTCTCCCACAGTGGAGCCTTGTTTCCCTCTTTGTCTTCGCTGTTGTTATTCAGGCTGCACCTCAGGTTTATTAATGCCAACACTTCATCCCTCGGCCATCTCCTCCCCACGTCTCCTTTCTCGCTCGACAATCCCGTCGACGACGCCTTGCACGTTGAGACTGAATCAACACAACTAGGGTTCTGTGCAACTTCTGATGTCTCCTGGGCCTGACTTGAGCTAGGGTTTTTTGCTACTGCCGCTACTGCACTAGGGCACGTGATGGGTAAGGCTGCAGAAGCTGTTATTATATCTTGATGATTTGGCGGTGTCATTGTAGAAGAAGGTGGGGTCTCTGGATCGTTCTCCTTACTGATCTCAACAGAAAAGTGAAGATTTTGTGAATGCGATGTTTTCGGATCTGAAACGCTCGTTACTCTGGGAGAGCTTGCAGTGAATTTCTTCAAGAATTCTATTACGGTGGCCTGCCGGTTTCCCGCCAGAGCTTGCTCGTGTGCCATCATTTCGAGCTCCTTATTCATCCTATCCAACTCTTGCTTCTTCCAAGCCTCCTCTCTCGCAAACTTCTCCTCGTCTCTCCTGAGCATGTCTTCGAGAAGCTTATTGTGCATCTCCTCTTGTTGAGCCATCATCCTGCTGACAATATTCTCACAGAAGCCCTTGAACATCTCAAACTTACCATCTTGCTTCTTTCGCTTTCTGTGCTTTGATTTTTCCACCACGCAGCGTTTGGTAATGGTGGGTGCTGATGTGTCATGTCCTGTAGAACTCTCTTCCAATGCGTGGCCCGACGTCTTGTCTTGTCCCTCCCTTGGCTTTTGCAGCTGCTGGGTCGACTTTTCTTCCGTCCCAACCAGAGCTTCAGGGTCTTGATGATAAAGCTCTTGTTCGAACTCACAAATGAACCGATAATTTTCGTTGTAATTAATGTGGTTCAAGTATCTACTTTCCTCCTCAAACTTATCCCTGCATTTCTCCGCACTCCTCTTAAATCCAAGCTCTGCTAGCTTCCTGCACTGACCATAAATGTGTAAAATCCAGCACCAACCAAATAAGTCATTTATACATGCTTCTTAATTAGTTTGTACACCACCATCTTATATACTGCCTCAAACACACTTAATGGCTAGACAAAAATCAGTTTTTCGTAATTTCGTCCCCTTCCAAGCTCGCCGCCCTCATCATGCTCCTTTCTCTCGAAGTCAGTTTGCTACTGTGTCACTGCGAGGTAACAGCTAAGCGGATGTGCACGTGTGCGTTTTGGCTACCACACGGCACTGAGTAAAACACATACAAACACCGATCAAACACGAATTCCAGCTCATTCTTTTTAGTATTTAATTACTAGTTTTTGCAGCATGGTTTTGGATGATGAAATCAAATTAAACGCACGGAGATGAGTTCCGGAGTTGAAAAGAAAGGAAAATAGGGAAAGACATAAATGAGGTTTATCGGAGGAGATACGATTCGATTCAAGCAAGTTAATTTACCTGGAGACATGTTCCCAGGTGAGGTCTGGGAGACAGGTTTTTATGCTAGATCTGATCCTGAACAACGCGAGCACTTCATCGTGAGTCCAGCAGGAATCGATGAGCTCAGGTAATTGCCTCTCTCTTTCAATCTCCAGGTTCATGGACACTCTGCTCATGCTATCATCTTGCTTGTCTTGCTGGTGCTTGTGGGCAGGAGGAGGAGGCAGGTGGTGCAGGGAGTGCAAGAGATTGGGTTGCTGGAGAGGCAAGTGAAAAGGATCGAAGGTAGGGAAGGTGTTAGTGTTGGGTGTTAGAGAGGCATTGAGAGGGAAAGACAAGTGAAGCGGAAGCGATGAAGTTCCGGGTGCTATGAACTGATGGAACTGGTCCGGGACTCCATCGAACATGTTTGTGTTCTGAGCGGGAGTTCTCTTCCTCCGTCTAATTAGACCCGTTCACCTCTCTCTCTCTCTCTCTCTCTCGCCCCCTTCTGCTCACTGCAAATGCCTAAATGGGCAAAATGCAACGAGCAAAGCAACATTACAAAACACCAACCTCGCAGTCTTCTCTCTCTTCTTCTCACGTCTATCAATGAATTTGTCCTCGCGTGGAAGAGGAGAGATAGCCCACCACACCCTTTTAGAAGAAAGTGAGCGCACCACCCCCCTCTGCTCATAACACCTGGCAAAATGCAAGCACTGTGACATCGGACAAGTCAATATCGACCCACGTTGCAATAAAAAAGTATATTCAAACTCATTTCACACACAGTTCGGCTCTTTCCTCTTTCCAAGCAAAATCCAGGCTTATCCTCAGCGTCCTTTGATCAACAAAGTATAGGTAGGCCTCACAAATGAATGGTGACTATAACCCACCCATTGAAGACAAGGCGAGTGGGCATTACTATAGACGATCATGTCTATAGACTTAAAAGTGATACCTCCACGTAAACTTGAAATTTGGTGGGGGTGAAGGAGACGCGCGTTGGGGCTGAGAGTGGAGGGGGAGGAGACTGGGGCAGGAAAATGATAAGAGGGAAAAAAGAAATTAAATATATACGGTTGTCACTGGGCCATTCGAATCCTATGCAGTAGCTGATGGTGTAATTAACGGCATCCAGATGGCAGGACACGTGAAAACATGCAGTGGATGGGACCAATTATATAGGGACGGGAATCTTCACATGGAGCAGAGGAATACAGTGTTATCGTACACCCCTGCACAGGGCGAGAGGCCTGCAGTAATCTAATCTGCTCAAGATCATAGCATGATGTAAGATGAAGTGCTTTGGACTTGGAATTTCGGATTAAATTAGACCCAGCGGCAGCACGAGGGTCGTGGTTAGCAATATTTGTAGGACAAAAATGAAGGTGGGAGTGGGACGAGCCATGCGTGCTGGCCTGTGAGTGGAAGGTTGAGAGGCATCAAGAGGAAAGACTGTGCAGTGTAGGTGAGGTTTGTTAAGGCTGAACCAGCTTGCAATGAGTTGTGGAAAGAGATGTGTCGTCAGTCCTCGCTTCACTTCTGTCTTCTTATATGTAATGCTGCCATTTTGTGTGAGTTTTGACCCACCATGGATGCGACATCCTCACACTGAGATTCCTCCATGCTTTTTTAAAATTTATCTTGCGTAAATTCATCCTTTTCTTCCCTCCATGTTTTGATTTTGAACGGCAAGGGTAATAGGTTTGGGAAATGGAAGCCCAAATCTCATTGGGTTGTCGAGGCCCTTCTGTGTCAAATAACATTGAAGCTTTCAGGGTAATTAAAAGCCCAGATCTCATTCAAACCCCAAGCTTCGGCCCAGCCTTCTATTCATATCCTTATAACTTTCTATACAAATCCTCCTTTCACCGTAAAAAAATAGGAAGGATGATAAAAAAGTTTGATAAGGATTAATTAATTTAAGTTAAATTTTAAGTATTAAATTTTAAAAATTTGTACCCAATCTCTTAATTTTGTAATTGTATTGCAATAAATTTATAACTTATTTTTTAAATTTTAATATAATTGAAGAATAAAAAAATTATTTTTCTCATTAAAATTTATAAAATAAGTTATAAATTTATCATAATGTAATTGTAAAATTGAAAGATTGAATTGTAAATTCATAAAATTTGATACTTGAGACTTAACTTGAATTAATTATTTTTTAAAACCTATTTATCATTCTTCCTAAAAAAATATGGACGCTCTTCCTACCAAAAAAATAAACACTTGCAAAGACCAACAAAAATAAACCATTGTGCAGCGGAGAATTTTTTTTTTTTTTTTTTTGCGTTACTAGAAAGATTTCCAGTCTCGACCAAAAAACGGCGAAAATCAATCCAGAGAACTCAAAGGCACACTTTATAAACAAATTTGCAGTCTGTGGGCGCGCCAAGTTTATGAAACTGATCTAGGCGTGGTCCTCCATTTCATTGGTTGCCTGATTTTCCAGGTGTTTGCCGGGCAACTGGAATAAGAAATTGCACGAGAATTTTATTTTGCGAATAATTAGGAGGAACAGTCATTCTTCTTCTCTGTAAATAACCTGGAATCAATGTCCGTCAATGTATCGCAATTTTATGATTTTCGTTTCATCCTGGCCTGTTTCTGCGTTTCATTAGTTTATCGTGTCTTTCTGGCCAAGCTACTTTGTCAAATATCCTATTTAATTTTTTCGCCCAATTAGAAAAGAGAGACCAGGAACGCCCGCAAGGCAACAAATAAAAATCTCCAACACGCTTTTCGGCCTGTGCCTAGTTTTTTTTTTTTTTTTTAAATCAATAAAAATTATTAATTAACTTAACTTAAAGAGAGGGGAAACCGGGAAAGGAATCGAATCGCCGAACGCTAAACCCTTGGTGGGCGTTAAACCCTACGAACACGCTTCGCAGGGGAGGGGCCTTATAGGTGAAATTTGTGTGCTCTCCGATCAACTAAACAACAAATCCTTCGGCACAGCGCCACCCATACCCTTCAAATCGCCGCTCTGTTGAATTCTCGGCCGAACAGTTTGACCTTTGATATCTTCTGACATGGAACCGAACGAGAAGGAGACGCGGGTTTACCATCCGTATCAAGATCTCAACGTTCCGATCCAGAAGCTCTACAACCTCCCTACCGCCCCGGAGCATCTCTTTCCCGAAGAGGCCGCCAGAACTCATCGCTCGTGGGGGGAAAATCTCCAGTACTACACCGGCTGTGGCTACTTATCGGGTGCCATGTTCGGCGCCGCCAAGGGCACCGTCCGCGGCCTCAAAGCTGCCGAGCTCGGCGACTCCCTAAAGCTACGGGTCAACCGTGTTCTGAATTCGGGAGGACAAACCGGCCGCAGATTAGGGAATTCGCTCGGCGTCTTGGGTTTGATCTTTGCTGGTCTAGAGAGTGGCGTTATCCATTTCAGGGGTAAGGATGATTTGTTGAACAGTGTGGTGGCGGGACTTGGTACGGGAGCGCTTTACAGGGCGGCGGCGGGACCGCGATCAGCGGCTATTGCGGGTGCAATCGGTGGAATTGCAGCGGCAACGGCAGTTGCTGGGAAGCAATCTCTGAAGAGATATGTACCAATATGATGAGGAAGGTGACAGTCGAATGAGTGAGGATGTAAAGGAAAAGGTAAGGAGCTTGGTGGTTTCAAATTTGAACGTCCTGCAAATTCATGTTGTCGCTGTGTTAACATCTCTGCCTTGTTGTTTCTCTCCGGCAATTTCTTTTCACTGCCAAAGGCACTGTTACTGGTTAACATCTTCCATGTGATTGGGTAAAATTTACGCAAGGGGTACTCATTTTTGTTCATCTTTCAAATGCTTACATAATTACTTTATATTTTATAACATCGAAGACTAATGAATCAACCCCTTTCCCGGCGTTGCCCAAAAAACAAAAAAAAAAAACAAAAACAAAAAATCCCAGCCGCTGCATGCTCGGATCCTTTGTCTGCTTCAAAGCACTAAGTCAAAATGATGCGTATGCCCAGGTTTGCACTCTTCCCATCTTTTGTCTGCACATTAATTGGGAAGAGTTAGCGACACTATTTGCATCCAGACTCCGTGCACAGATTTGCTCTTAGCTTCCCTGCACATGGATGAAACACCATTTCGATGAGTTTAATCTCTACCGTTGGTCTCATCGATCAATTTCGGTGCACATCTGCACCACATCATTGAATATTTGATAAGATGAATCACAGCCGCTCATTCCTGACAAACAGAGAGAAGTCTCAAGGCGTTGCTTTGAAAATAATAACTTGCGGGGCCATCGTCTTCTTTGTTGAGGTTCCCTTTTTTCTATATTTTTTAGGGCATTGCTTGGAACCATTTTGGAGGCCTCCAAAACAGTGGTTTTCCCTGAACCAAAAAGGAGTTTCTAAAGCTCGCTAAGCCCACCGTGAGGATAATAATGTTAGGATCCTTAGAAGCCATCTATAGGGTGCAGAGAGCTTTTGCTCTCTAATGTGTCTTAGTTTCTTGCTTTCTTTGCACGGATTCTATCCTTATTGTCACAATCTTTGTTCAAAAACAGAAGAAACCATGAGATTACATGGCTTTTGGAGATGTTCAGGATCATGCAAAGATTTTCAGGACAATTCAGGACCTTCAAAAAAAATTTAATATGTTCTAAAATGTTCTAGAAGTATCTAGAACAATCTAGAAATATTTGAAAAAATCTAGAAGTTTTGAAAAAGTTTTAGAAATTTATGGAAGAATGTGTAGATGTTTAGAATATTTTAGGATATTTTAAAATGTTCTGGAACATTTCACACATATTTTAAAGATTACTCTATAAATATCTTTGTAAATATCTAGATATTTGTTATAAATATTTTTATGAAATACTCTAGAAGATGAATGTAAATCGTAAAATTAGATTGATCTCTATCGTTCAGTAAGGAGGTGGAAATTTTTTAAATAAAGAGGGAAGTTTATAAATACCTTCACAATTCCTCATTTGTAAACGACAAGAAAAGTAATCAAAGTTTTAAGTTTTTAAATTCTTTTATCCAAGCTCTCTCTTCTCTTGTATTCAAGTTTTTTAGTTCTTTTACCTACATTATGAGGGTTTGCTGGATTTAATAAAGATTAAAAGGTTGGTCACATTAAGGTCAGCACGGTTCATGGATTAGGGAGTTTCAAGTTGTGACATTATGCTTCTGTTTGTTTCTAGAGGCCTGTCCCTTTCTCGAGATGTTGTTTAAGATTAAAAAAAATCCAAAGCTGTCGTGGATGGTTCAAGGTACCAAATGAAGCATTTGATGATCTTGGTTGGGATATATTATTCTTATTAGGATCAAAATGCAAATTTACCTTCAAAGTACGGCGCAACATCCTAAGCTAAAGAAGGGGGCAATGTTGCCCTCAATCTTTTAAAAACAAGACAATATTGCCCAATTCTAATAGATACTAATGGTCAACCTTTAGTTGACTATGACATAAATTATTTTAATATAATAAAGATTAGCTGGCTGTCACATTATTTCTGAAATTGAATCCGCTGTTGCTCTAAAGTTGCTGCTCTCTCGTCATCCTTGCTCCCTCCCTCCCACAGTTCAACCTCCAATATTCCTCAACATCGTCTCGTCCTCTACCAGTGCTTCTTCAATTTTCATCCTCCTGTCCTTTCGCTTGCTGAATTAGAGACTCAGTCCTCCATCGATCAACCTCGATCATCGATGACACCCACAGTCGCACCTGGAAGATCTAAACCAATAGCTAGTCGGCTCTTGCTCGAATCGTGTTTCTAGCAGTGCCGGCATCCCTGTGGCTGTGAATATACATTTTGATTGTTGATTTGTATTTTGGGTTTCATGGCTTGATTTTCAGATTTGGCGTTTTGTTGTGTTGCTGTTAATTTCTTAGATCCGTGCCTTCTCCTCTTCTTCTTGTTTATGCTGATGGTGTTGGTGCCTTTTTGGTCCGTGACTTAAGTTTGGGGAAGAGAAAACGGATTTCTTGCTCAATGGATTTCACTTTTAAGAGAGAGTGTATAGCTTTCAGATGAAGAACCGTTGTGGAGGGATGAGAAAAACTATTGAAGAAAGAAGTTTTTTTCCCTTTTAAATTCCAGAGTGCGAGAATCGGATTACACACAAAAAAATATTAATTCCAGAGGAGTCCGATCTGAGGGGCTGGTTCTTGACTTGAAGAAAGAAGTTTTTTTAAGAAAGTTATTAATCTATGTATTAGTTAAAATGAGTGATTGACAATTAAGCTTTATCAAAATAAAGTATGCTAGCTAAGCATAGTTTTAATGATAAAAAGGTAAGGTGGATGCCACAAAGGCATGCCACGCAGGCTGAGTTAGGTTAACTAACGGTTAGTTAACTGTTAGTGTATGTTAAAATAGGGTGATATTATCCTATTTTTAAAAGATTGAAGGTAACATTGCTTCTTTTCTTAGTTTAAGATGCTATCGCACGATATTTCAAAGGTAAATTTGTATCTTAACTTTTTTTATTATTTTTTAACAAAAAAAAAACTTTATTATTTTAACTTGTGCTTGAAACAGTTGCTATAGATTTTAAGGAAAATGACAATTAAGTTTCAAAAAATTGAATCAATAGCAGTTAAATTTTTAACAAAATTTTCTAAAAAATAAAATAAAATTCCTAAATTTGCAATTATCTATATTTTTAACTTATTTTTTTAAAAAATTTGTCAAAAATTTAACTGTCATTAATTTAATGTTCTAGGATTTAACTGTCATTTTTTCATGAATTTGCAATTATCTCTATCAGATGTTTCTAGATTTAGCTGAAAATTAAACTCTTTTTTATATGCTAATTAAACTCTTTATGGTAATTGCAAAACTCGCATCAGGCATGTCCCATGTGAGTCACGCATCTTCATCTGAATCATGAACCATAAGCCTGTATAATTAGTCTTTAGGTAATTCATGGCACAGCTAGCCCAAGGTTGATGGCATTGAGTGAGTCTTTCATAGAACATACAAATTTTTTAGGTAGAAAATTAGGGAAGCCTGGCCATTTCTTCAACTGGCATGACTCATGAGAGTGAAAGTTGGCAAGAAAAAATGGCTTTCCAGAGGGTTACTACCTCTAACAACATATCAATACGTGTCGGTTTTAGGACCTACCAAAGAATACGCTAAACTAGTTTACTTCCTATATTGTGTGCAAATCTTAAATTAGATTTCAATATTCACTCTGGTTCTAACAGGCTTGAGCTTAATCCCTAGGCTCTGGGGGGATAAGAGTTCTGGCGCTATTCGGCCAGGTGGACTAGACCCAACGGTTGACGATGAGCATGAAGCAAATACTCTCTGGTACCCAAATTCCATTAAGAATATCTCGATTGGAATTATCATGGCATATGGTTTCTCTTCAGTCACCAATGACCCGCAAGCTTTAACCTGGGAAAGTAAACACCGCAACACAGTCACTTCATTTCTCTCTCTCTCTCTCTCTCTCTCTCTCACTATTTATAAGAGGTTCTTATCAGTTTTTGGATCTTTGTTGTTACATTGAAATTGCGCAACGAAAACAGATTACAGTGATGGCTTACTTTGCCTTTGCCTACCTCAACAAGGGCACAGGTCTTCTTGTCCATTTTTGCACTCATGTGCACGGATTCAGCATGAAATGGACTACTTGCCCCCGCAAATATGAGCGTCTTACACCGCAAGTTCTTGAGACTCTCAGTGAGGTCACGCCTACTGGGAATTAATAAAAGGTAAAATCAACTTAGGGTTGAGTCAAAGGCAAAATAAGTTCCTCAAAACAAACAACAACTTACTTATTAATTGCTAAAAGAAAACGCATGACATTCAAACTTTGCCTTTCATCCAGAAGCTGTAATCATAAAGCAGAAAAAAGTACGCCTGTTAGTAAGGCTTGCTCGACTACAGAACTCTTATTAATCGGTTACTCTCCACAACTTCAAGTATGTTTTGAAGCAAAATGCCCACACATGTATGAGTAGTTACTCAAATTGTGATATTCTGATATTCATACCCTTCGGCAAGTTAATGTCATGTCTGGTTCTGCTCCCTCAACATTGCACCTATGTTCCTAAAAGAAATGTACAGTACACGTTACATAATGAAATAATGTCGCTCTTACTCGCAACTTATCCTGTAGCTGAGGAAGTTCACCTTGCTGAAGTAACGCTGCAGAAGGCATTCCTTCAATAAACCACACATGCCATAGAAGTATAATAAATTCTTTAAAACCTGCATCATTGGAGGCTGAAAACTTTAGACATACTTTCTTTCTGTTGCAAGCATAATGATAACATTGACTTGACAAGTTTCATTGCCTCAAGCTAGTTGTAATTGTAAATTGACTAAATTCCTTGTGTAGTTACGTATGAAGAAGGCTAAGCCGACCAAGATTAAAACCTTATTGTAAAGCCATTCAGTCCATGAAGGTGCTCTGCAAAGAGGCGACACGAGAATCAGCCCAAGCACCCGTTCTTTGTATTTCATCTGCCAAAAACGAAAAATAGCACCAGGATTTATGATATCAGGTTGTCATGACAGAAAAGTTAGAGCCTATATTTGCCAACTTACAGCAAATAGCGTGAGGATGTAAGCACCAGCTGTGACACCCAAGCACAAAACCTGTCTTATCCTGATACAAGAAAGTCGTTGACTTAGGTTAAATAAAGACCCAATGCGAGTGAGTATTTCAAGGGCGTATCCATTTGCTTTTATTATTCAAATTACAAGGAAATAACACCCGCCAAGTGGCCGGCTAACACTTGGCACCGCACATCAATGGTTGTTGTGTGTGAAAACTAAACGCTTTCACCACCAAGCCACAAGGTTCGGCTGGCGCACATCAATCGCTATATCAACTTGCACACGTGATTCCACAGAAGCTTCATTTCTTCGCTGACGGAAGATGACTGGCAATCAACATATATTGCTTAACCCAATATCTTCCCCTCACAGTTAGGCAAACGTGCTGTGGGATGAAGTTGTTACAAATACAAAGATCCTAGTTTTCTTTTACGCATCTAATAATGCAGCGCTGTATGTCGAAATAAAGGAACGGGTCCTAATGGTCGGCTATTGAGGCACAGAAAGAGCAAAGGCAACGTACCCAAAAAAATCAAGCACTTCCACGACCTGGTCCGCAAGATCATCCACACTAAGCAAGGGTTCATCTGAAGGAATCACATCAGCTCCCAACTGCAAGAACTCTTGAGCAAATGAGAACGACTCCATTAGATTCATTAGATTACCTATCACTCGTTCAAATTGTTAGATAAATGAATATAGCACTCGAAGCTGTCATGGCTTCACCTAGTGAAAAAAATATTAAGAAGTAAAAGACAAATGATATTAGGAAAAATGGAACTTAATAAAAGACAAACGATATTAGGAAAAATGGAACTTAATGTTCCATTAACCATCAAAAGGGAGGCGACTATGTGCATAACAATATACAACGCTTCGATTCTCTTTACCATGTGAAATCTATTTAATGAGCAGTACTTTTTATACCCCGGATGCAAACTCGAGCAAGCCCAGCTAGAAAGAAAGATGCTCAAGGAAGGTTGCCTATAATAATGGCTAGAAAGATGAACACACGCTAATGTCTTGACAGGAACATAGGTTAGAGACTTGATAATGACCTCGTGCCCTGGAGCATCAATGTGATAAATGCAGAAGTTGTGAAGCAGCAAAGAAGCTGCATCTGGGTAGAGCAACAGACCTTGAAAACAAGAGATATCTGCAAAAGAAATACACCGGTCTCATTAGGCACAAACGAGTTAAAAGACCAAGATACTGTCAGCACATACTGAGTGAGTTTGAATGCGACCAAAGGATGAGTGGCGAGCTATAATTTTTTTTTAAAAAAAATAAATAAATAAAGTGTTGAAGGATACAATTGAGAGCCATATCCGGATAAGTTATTAGAGCAGGCTTCTCTTGGTCTCCGCAAACCATCACAGAGATAGAACCTTTGCTAGTTTTCACCAAGAATTCCTGGAAAAACACCAAAAGCAAAGTCATAAATTCCAGTTTTCTCACAAAACCCAATAGAATTCTGAAGGATGAAAAAACAGAGAAGCTGCGGATAGATTATGATTGCGGGATGTTGATGAATTACCTTTCCTCCGAAAGGTATCAAATCAATGTCAATGGTAGTCGAACCGCTGGAGACGGCCATGTCTGAGTTCTATACATTCAAGCCATAGCAAAATCAAACGCAGAATAATAATGCGTGAAATAGAGGCTCCTGTTGTTCCTCGCGTCTCTCTACTCTACGCCGGGGTTATTATTTATAGTGTAATATTCAAATTACGGAAAGAACCTCGGAGCAGGATGGGATTGCAGCATTGACCTTACGAGTCGGGGAGTGACTAGTTTGTCTGATCGCGGGGGCGTGAAGGGAGTAAAAAGTGATCGTTAGAGCGGGGGAACAAAAAAGATGTCCGTTGTAGGGGACAAAGAGGTCATTTGAGGTTAAGGAGACAGATTCTGGAAGGAAAAAAAAAAAAAAGAGAGGGGTAATTCCGTAATCAGGAAAATAGCGGAGGACAAAATAAGAAAGCGGTGCGGCGGGGACAAGTGGGACAAGGAATTGCAAGGGCATATGAGCTGGGCACGTGCAAATGCAATGCGAGGGAGATAAATGCCGAGCAATACCCTTTCTGGTCAATTCATCTAGCTGGACGCCACCTGGATCCCTCAACCGCAGCCCCTTCCAAGTATGTGTACTTTTCTTCCCTACTCTGTTTATTTGGCTTCAAATTGGAGGCATGATCAACAATGTGGGATCATATTGAGTGCATTTTCCCATTTTATTAATGTTTATATCTACTATGATTAAAGTTATTGATTGCACATTATATTTTATTTTTCTGTATTGATTACCCAGGGTTTTGAGAATGGGCACACACAATCAATCACACTAAATATAGCGAGTCAAAGAATCAATGTTGTCAATAAAATATTAAATGCCAATAAAATTAGATCTAGTGAAATGGATGAGATTTCAGTGGCAAATGAAAATTTGAATTCTGGCGAGAGAGGTACCTCAAAATTATTAAACAGGATCGTTTTAAGCAAAAGGGGAAAAAAGAAATGAAATTGGAAGGGAAGAGGGGAAAAAGGGAATGACGAATGACTTAGACGCGGTTTCTTTTATGCCGCTCATCACGGCCCTAACCTGACCCCAGGCCCAACCCTATCATTTCCCGATTCACAACGCCATTACGGGTGCTCCATCTGTCAATGCTCCAACAACACAATCACTATGCCTCCCACGTTTTGTCAATTTGGGTTCAAATCCTATCTTTTTACCTCAATCACCTCACCTGCGCTCCGGAACTCCCGCATTCGATTCAATATCTCAAACAGATGAATGGCCCATCACACGCCTCTCAAATCCTGTTCGGCTATTCCTTTTGTTCCTGCCAACCCGTTCAAGGTGATGCTTTGTTTTGGGCCCAAACCTTTCAAGTCCGCCTCAACAAATTAAACTGTTCTTATTCCCTGACCTGATTGCCTATTTACTATACAGGACTCCTAATCCAACTACTAGCCCCCTCTAAAAAACTTGGACTTTTCCCCTCACAACCCTACTGATTGCATGATTTGCTTCACAGAATCATAAAATAGATATGATTCGGACAGCATGCACGCAATTTTTTTTTTTTTAACATGGCAGGTGAGGACTCCGCTTCTCTTCTTTTACCAGGAGAGAAGCCTCTTCTATCTCTCTTTTAAGATAGTAGCTTAATTTAAATTGTTTAGATTAAATTTAAATGGTCCAAATTTAATACCTTTATTTTTTTTATTTTTCATTTATATTTTTAAAATAAAAAATATATAAAAATTGTAAAAAAATTTTAATAAATGTATTTATGAATTTGACAGTTCATATTTAATATAGATGGTTTAAATTTAATATTAATTTTTTTAATAAATTTACTGTTCTGTTCAAAATATATTTACACTGTTTAGAATATATCTAAAAAGTTAAATTAAATTTTTTATATTAAATTCAGATCATCTATATTAAATTGAGACTATCAGATTGATAAGTATATTTATTAAATTTTTTTATAATTTTTATTTTAAAAATATAAATAAAAAATAATAATATTAAATTCAGACTGTCTAAATTAAATCTAGATGGTTGAGATTTTCCTCTACCTCAAAGGAGAGGCAGAGGAGGCTTCTCTCCTTAGTCCGGCAGGTGATTGGAGGTTTGGTACCCTTAACATTTAAGAAACAAGTAAGGTTAATATTTAATTTTATCCTTATACTTATTTTTTAGAAACACTGGACATCATATTTATTATACAAAGTAAAAGTTTTACTTGTCATCATGTGTGGCCCCACGCACATGTCACATTAGCACATAATGACAGATTTAACGGTTCATTAGCACTTGTCATTATGTGCTAATGTGACATGTGCGTGGGGTCAAGTAAAACTTTTACTTTGTCTTTTAATATTAATTTATCTTTAAACTTTTTTTTTAGGAACACTTAACACCTTAAAGTTTCTTTTTAGGAGTATTGAGTACTCCGAGATCTTGTTAAAATAAAATTTAATAAATATTGTTAACATATTAAGTATTTTAATATTTAATAATTTAAATATTATTATTTAAAATATTACATCACCCATATTTTTAATATTTTTAAAATTTTGTATTAAAAATAAAGGGAATGAGCCTCTAAATTAATGAATGAATTTTTTCTTCTCATCTCTCCTTTTTTTTTCTTATTAAGTAACTTTTTTTATAGCACATTAATAGAATAAGTTCAAATAAATATTTTTGTTGTCATTTTGTTGGTCATGATTATCATATTTCTAATTTTATAAACATTACGCCACCCAATTTAATATTTTAATATTTTTAATATTTTATAATTTTGTATTAAAAATGAAGGGAATGAACTTTTAAATTAATGAAGGAATTTTTTATTCTCATTTCTTTATTTTTTTTGTTAAGTAACTTTTTTGTAGCATATCAATATAATAAGCAATATCTTTTAAATAAATTTTTTTGTCCATCCTGATTGTCATTTTTTTAATTTTACTTCTAATACTGCAACATATAGAGAGTATTAAATTTGATTAGTATAATATTTTAAAGGAAGATCATTAGTTGATCAAAAAAATTAAAAAATAACCAATATTAAAAATTTATATAAATTTCGACACGCACAAAAAGCATAATAATTTAGATACTAGCTTGAAAAGAAAATCAAATATTGATCTATAAAAAATAAAAAGTCATCTATAAATTTATAAAATACTAATTTGAATTGTTAATATTTAAAAAATAATTTATAAATTTTAAATAAATATTTATAAATAATAATATTTAAATTATTAAATATGAAAATATTTAATATTTTAAAAATATTTATTAAATTTTATTTTAATAAGATTTTAAAGTACTTAATGCTCATAAAAAAAATTTAAATGCTCAATACTATTAAAAAAGGATTTAAAAATAAATTAATATTAAAAAATATGATTAAATTCTTACATGTTACTGCAAAGTTAACTATTTATTAACAGAATTTTTGCTCTTTAAAAAAATAATTTAAAAATAACATTATCTTATTTAATAATATAAGGTGTCTCGCACTTTCAAAAGATAAATACCGGGATGAAATGGATCTTACTCCAAAAAACTACCGAGTCATGACAAAGCATAAAAGCCGCGTGAAGGGAATGAATGATGTCCGCAGAAGCAAGCTGTAACTTCCCCGTTGAAATTGAAAGGCCGAGTTTAGAATGGAGTGGGAGTAAAGGGGCGTGACAATGATTTGAGGCAAATCTAATTATGAATTGCGAACAAGTTTACAAAGCGCAAGGAGTGACCATCAAAATCAAAACCTTATCCCCTGTCTGCTCTCACTCTTATCGGAATCTTAATCATGTCTGTTCATCATTGCTATTATTTCCAAAACCCATTTCCTTCGCCAGCTGGACCTGCCAGATAATACGCTTCGACTAATTTTCCGTGGGCTCATAAGGCTCCTCTGCTCAACACCATCCAGGACCACCCACTCCTTTGCTTCCTGCACAGTATGAAGACTTAATTAATAAGATGCGGACACTGCGCGCTGTTCGTGCTGTTCCAAGGTTGTTTGCTTTTCTTAATTATTTAAATCATTCGACATGTCCAAGATTCCTTTGATTATAGATGCGTGGATGCGAGAAGCCCAGGAGGCTTCTCATTGGTTGGAGGACTTGGAGAGCAGAATCAAGCATAAAGGTCTCGTCCATTCCACTTCCCTACACTCTGCTCGATCCAAGTTATTGGAGCTCGGAGTCAAACTTGATCGCCTCGAATCCTTATTACGCAACCTACCAGCTAAACCCATCTTGTATACACCCTCTCTCTCTCTTCTTCGATCCATTATCTTTCTCAGCAAGTGTATTGAAATTCTGGAGTAGCTCATTTCTATGATGTAATACTGATTGTTGTCAATATTTTGATTAGATAATTGTGGATTTACAGTAGAACTAGAGAAGAAAGATTTGCTTGAGTCAGTAACCCATGTCTACAGTTTATTTTCAGAACAGATGAAGATGTGGAATATCGGTGGAAAATGCTTAAAGACATCCAGCTGAGAACAAAATCATTGGTTTCTAGCGTCTCTGCGGTACCATCGCCAGACTGGTAAGTAGGCTATTCACTACCTTCCTTTTCTACCTACTTGAAGCTAACTGAACCGATTTTATTTACCGAGTACTTTCTCAAGAGATCTTGTATTTAGATATTTCTCCACGTCTAAGAAAAGAGACAAGAGTGGTAAGCTGGGGCAGTCAATTGTTGAGAAACAAAGGCATGGGTGCTTGGAATAGTTGATAGGGAAACTGGACGATCTACTAATATATCTTTCAATCAATCTTACTTGCCATATCAATGTTGGGTTTGTCAAAGCATGAGTAATTTTTGGTGCAGCACTATTTAAATGATCGGGGAGTTGGCCTAATTGGGCGAGCCATTGAATCAAAATGTTGAATGTAAATGAACAATTTTACGTTGTCGGGGCCATTATCTAGTCTGTTGATAGATATTGACAGATAGGTTGTGCTTCTGTTCAGGCCAAGAGATGTTCTTGCAACAGCAGATACTGAGGAATGCAACGTAGGCCCTGATTACTGTGACCAAGGTGCAAAATAGGTGTCCTTTTTTATGGCCTCCCTTTCATACCCTTATTTAAAGCAATTATGTAAAACGAAACTCAAAACACAAATGTAGTATACACAAGGGTGCTATGTAAAACTAGCGGATGGAAGACACAAATAAGTAATCGTTGAAAGCACGTGACATTCATAATCAATTACTGTATCCATTTTTTGCCGTGATCTGGTTCGCCTGCACTTTATTCTGTGTCCCATGATTTATACTTATTCTTTTCCAGATCAGACGAAAACCTCGTACCAAGATAACATAGAATTGCTGAAACCTCTCCTGGTAAGATTTTGTAATCATGAAAATTATAATCCTGGACTTTCATTCAGTTTTATAAAATTGTGGAATGGGGATGGCAGCAAGATGCTGGAAGCAGAAGTGAGGGGCAGGTAAGTAGTTCCTCAATGTCAATGTATTGGGTATGGAAGGCTTGCTCCGCAATCTTGTTATTCCTGGCACTGGCTGCACTTATATTTTTCCTGGCTCTTCTCTGCACAGCCTTCTGACGCCATCCAGAACAATTCTATCCTCCGCTCATTTCATTACTTAAATTCCCAACGTAGATAGCAGAACCATTTCTTCTTCCAAATGTATGTCCTTCTGTGAATATAGTGTGTGGGTGGGTGTATTTTCGTTTCTTTTTTTCTTTCTTTCTTTTCTGTTTTTTTTTTTTTGAAAGATGAGACACATTCTCAATGTGTTGTACAGAATCTAATGAGAAATAAGACATGTTATTCATTACACATGGATAATCAGATACCCTATATGCTATAAATTTTACATTTTATATTCATTCGAATATATTGTTTCCTGGCAAAAGAAAATATTATAGATTTTTTTTTAATATAAGTCATGAGCAAAATAGATCATTTTATAAAATTTTTTTGCCTCTCTAGGTTTATAAAAAAAAAATTTAAGCGGGAACCTTTAACCTAAGATAATTAAAAAGAGTACCCCAAAATTTTTGTAATTTTACTAAAGGACTCGTACGAAATTTCTTTTGAATTTATAACAAAAATGACAAAATTGCTTTAATTTAAATGAACAATATAAATAATTTGTTTATTCTCATACTGTATGTTGTTCATTTGTTTAGTGAATATTTTTCGTTTTCCTACTTCACTTATTTATAAGCTTACTTTCACTTTATTTCATTCTAAGGGCCATAAACAAGTGAAATAGGAAAATGAATAATATTCTTTAAATAAATGAACAATACACAGTTTAAAAATGAACAAGTCGTCTTATCATGAAATTGATACGTATAATAAAATTAAGTAAAACTAGGGTTATAAACAAGTGAAGTAAAAAAAAATAAATAATATTTTATAAATAAATAAATAACATACAGTATGGGAATAGACAAATTATTTATGTTGTTCATTTAAATGAGAACAATTTTATCAATTCTGTCACAAATTCAAAGAAAGTTCCTATGGGTCCTTCTATAAAATTTTAAAAATTTTAAGATCCTCTTTTTTATTATCTTAGGTTAAGGGTCCCCATCTAAAATTTTTCTTTACAAAAACTTAGAGTCTTATGAAAGTTCAAATCACAATTTTTGTGTGTATGTAGTAATTTCAGCGGAAGAGATCCACCCATCACTCTTAGTACTTTGGGAGATATATATATATATATATATATTTTTTGTTAATAAAACCTACTCCTTATATTAAAAAAAGAAGAAGGTAATATTGCATGCTTATTTATTGAACCAATGAGCAGTATGTATCTATTTCTCTGAAACTGTTGGCTTGGACTCTATGTCTTCCACTAAAAAACAAGCAAAGGAAATCTGTGTTTGATTAAAAATATAAGATTCAAATACCAAAAATACTTGCTTGTTTAATTTCATACTTCATTATTAATAATACGTGCTACCAAAAAAACAAAGAAAACGACAAATAAAGCTAGAAGGAGTAGTTGCTGAGAAATTAGATTCCTGTACGAAAAGTAGCAAGTTACGGGAGTGACCCATAAGGGGAAAAAAAACGGTGAAGTTGGTTTATTGATATTCATAGTTTTATAAAAAGTCAAATTACATGGTTGGACCGTTGGAAAGGCCAGCGCTAAGGGCGTTAGTTTTGGGAGTATATATAAGGAGAGAGTGAAGACGCGCAATACCTGATGCTATATAGACGAGGCATTTAACCACCAATTCAGAATTCCAAATCGCAACAATGAACATTGCGGTTGTGAATAGCTCTACGATCACCAAGTTTGTGGATGACAACGACGCGTTTGATAAATTCACGAGGGAATGGCTTGTGGTGCTTGACGACGACGGCGATGGAGTGCTTTCGCCAGACGATATGCGCGGGGGATTCCGCAAGTTATTGCCGTTAGGTTACCATCCGCGAGAAAAGGACGAGATCGATGGGCTATGCGGATCAGTATTCGAGAGGTTTGATGAAGATCGAAATGGATCGCTGGATGGCAACGAGTTCAAGTCCTTCATGACGGAGATTATGAATGCCCTTGCTCTTGGCATCGGTGGCTCTCCCCTCATTGTCGTTCTCGAACAAGGTAGCTTCCTTTCCAAGGCTGTTCAACACGAATCGGCAAGAGATCGATCCCCTTCTTGATTTGGTACTATCTTTCTTCTCATTTCCCCTTTCCTTTTTGCCTTCGTTGCGGCTTCTTTTGGGTATTCCAATTTCAAGATTTGATCTCTTCGGTTGTTTGTTTTGTTGATCCAGACTTGCTTCTCAACTAAAGCCATTTCATACTGTTTAGAGACAAACATTAGAAAGAGTAACGCAAATTAGCACGTCGAGCTCGCTCAAACTTTAATTTTTTGTTGTCTTTTCATTAGAACACACACACACCCCCCCCCCCTCATCTTCAGATCATATAGCATTGTAGCTTAAACAGTCCGGTAACGGAAATGATGTACCGGCAGAAAACGGAGAGATCATTGGACAAACTGATAAATTCTATTTTTTTTAGGGGAAAAAACATAAATCTGTCTTGTAGCAAGCCCTTAATTTATGGAACATATTGGCAAATCCAGGGCCAGTTATGAGAGAAAATTCCGCCAATTCACTCTGATTTGACTGCAAACGATGGCAGTTAATTATTTCTTTTTAGGACGAAATTCCTCCCAGCGATAGTGAACCGTTCGTTGCAAAATTTTTCCATGAAATGGGAACACTAGGTCTCATTTGATATGATGAAAGAATTTTTAATAGAATCGAAATCGGAATTGAAATTAAAATAGAATTGAGTTATAAATATATGTTTGGTATGAAAATAAAATTTGAATATAATATTAATAAATATATGTATTTAAAATAAATAAAGATCAAAATGCCCTTATAAAAAATTTAAAAACTCAGCTATCATAATAGAGTGTGTATGTGAGGCACTTATGACAATCTCATGAAATTGTAGTAATTTCATCATAATAGAAATGAAATTAAATTCTAGATATTTTGATAGAATTGAAATCCATAAAAAATTAAATTCATGCATGCCAATCCATTGAAAGCATGATTTCAATTTCAATTTCATTTCTTTTGAACCTAATTTTAATGTACCAAATATAACCTAAATGATTCGTTTCTCTGTTTGAACGGCTCTTTATTGCTTGTATTTGAATGAGAGAACCCTACTGCGAAATTCCTCACAGCGATAAGCGAACCCGTTGCATGTATCTTATCTTAATTCGATGAGTCATTCTTTCCTTTCCAAAATCACGTCATGCGTCAGTAATGTTTTTTTAATTAAAAAATTAGACGAGGAATGCAGGCTAAAATGGCTTGAGCAGGTGACTTGGTATTGGGTCATGAAGCCCAATTAAAGTTGTCCATCCTTAACTGGTATTGGGCCAATTCTTCAAATTGGTGTTAGTATGTTACATCGCCATTTTTATAGTTGTCTAGCCTGTCACTCTGTCGTCTCTTTTGGGGCAACAAAGCTGGCCTGAAAATAAAATAAATAAAAGTGAATGTTAGAATTAAAATAAAAAAATAAAATAGTAACTTGTGAACAAAGAGCATGAGAGCATGCAACATATGATGATGTCTGTTTTGTTTTAATTAATTTTTAGTAGATAAAGCGCTTTGCATTGTGCCAGTGCTGAAAGAGAGTGAGTTGATGGGTCATGTAAAGGTAGGTCTGCATGAATTGGAATGGACGTGGTTTTCAGAACTGGGCAGCCGCCTTTTCCTTTTGGACAAGACGATGCTCAAAAACTTTGTCAGTTTCTTGCCTTTAATTTAATATGGCGTGCGTGACTTTGAGGCACTCGTCTTTGGCAACTAATCATAAAGGTTTTCCATTAAGTTTCTTAGATATTACTGCTACTTTTCTCTTGAACTGATCCTCTAACATAAATATCAAAGCCTCTCAATTTAGTTTTCCGGACAATAAACAAATTATATAATTTTTTTTTTTAATGTTTTCTGCTCGAAACACCATTTCCGTATGAAAGGAATACTTTGGCGCGAAAATATTTAATTTGTTTTAGGAGGCCAGGAAATTGAGGCTTAACTTTGAATACTGCGCCACCTTCAAAGAATAAAATTATGGTAGTATTACTGTACACCTCCAACCACGTCGACGAGCCTAACAATTTAATCCTGTCACAACTTATGTTGAGATAGAGATTTATTTTGTTAACATATATATATATATATATATTACTTATTAAAATTTATTGTAAGTGATATATATATATTACTTATTAATCAGTTATTGAAGCATGATAATATATATATATATATATCTATATTTTCAGAAAATATTTTGTATTTATTAGTCATTATAAGGCCCGTCTGTATATGGTAAGCCTTTTATATCAATAGAGAATGGGATTTTTTCTGATCTCCTTTACTTTTCTCTTGATTTCTTTCAACTCATAAATGCTCACTTCTCATAGGGACGTTAAATTTTTTATTGAAGCATGATAAGAGTAGATCAAGGAACTTCTCGCAAAAGAATTGATTATGGAGAGCAATTGAGTGGATTTATTCTAATTCTGTGTGTACAATTATACAGAAAAACATATTATCAGAAAGCGCCAACATTATTTAAAAACTCGTGCGCCCGAGACAAGGAAGATTTGAAGTTGGGTGATCTAAGCCCTCTAGAAAATAATCTGGCCTTGTTTGTCAACCACTTAATTGAGCTACACTCTTTTGTCTGTGTAATCCTTCTAGCTTCTTGCTAGCCTGACTGATGTAAAAACAAAAGAAAAGAAAGGCCAATGGGCCCGGGTTGATCAATTACCACAATTATTTTATTTATTGTAGTTCTTAGTTCTTACGTTGTTCTAATTTGACCGATCGCCGTCCGCACTTTACTTCTAGAAGCTTTCAACCATGGAAATGCGGAAAATTTGGAGCACCGCTGGATCATTGTGGACACCAGACAGCGAGTTCTTGGCTTCAAATTTGTCAGTGCTTACCTTTTTATCTTGTATTTTAGCTTTTCACTCCAATCATCTTCCCACGACAATTTTTTTTTTTAATTTGATTTGTTATCCGTAGAGTTTCAAATTTTCATGGAATCTTAATTAATGCGATCACCTAATATTATCGCAATTGATCGTATTTATAATCTTTTTTTTTAAAACTTAGATGTCTAGTATGTTTTTTTTAATACATGATCACGGCATAATCATGCAAAAGTAACAAAAATCAATTCATGTTTAAAATCATAATATTTCTACAATTAGATGATGGATTATCAAAAGTCCTAATATCATATAATTATTCCAAGAAGGCTGGCAAATAAAAAGGTCAATACATTTGTTAATTTTTCTATAAACATAATTGAATGTGATTACCCAATCCTTTATAGTGAGATCTCTAATTTTATTGATAATGTCAGAAAGTGGGTGTCTTCTAGAGTAATTATACTCAATGAGGGATAATACTTCTATTGAATCAGTGTAAACATTGACTTTGTAAAGTTTAGCATTCCAACAAAAGTTGAAACCTTTGAGAATCCCCATGAGCTCAACTACTGTGCTAGGGTAGTAATCCAGGTATTAAGAAAATCTCTCGATCTAATTACCTTTTTCATCCCTAATGATACCTTTACAGGCGACAGCACTATTGATGTTGACAAAGCCATCAATGTCTAGCCTAGTCCACTTAGGCAATGGAAGGCTCCATTTGGTTTCATATTTAGCATCACTCTGGCTATCTAATAATGTATTTTAGTTAGTAGCAAACTTATTCCTGACAACATGATTTAAGCCTTTGTTGTGATTTTCCATTCTATTGCAAGAAATATATAGGTTTCTATTTAGTTACTAGAAAAGAATGAAATAAAATGAATTGAAAAAATAAAGATAAAAATAAGATGATTAAAGAGAATAAATGAACATATTCATAAAGAAAAGGGGTAATTTAGTTTATAGAGTTGGGAATCATGATTTATAAGATTTTTGAAGGGGTGTGATGATTTCTACACTTGTAGTATATATTAATAAATGTTATTATACTTACTAGGGGGATTTTTTTTATTTTTTTACTCCATTTCATTCTATTCTTTTCTAATAATTAAATGAAATGTAATATAATTTAGAAAAAGGTATAATTGGAGAGAAGGGAATTATATATTCCACTAAACAAAAAATTGCACCGCACATAACTTAGATTTGGAGTTTATATATATATATATATATATATTGATAAATTGGAGCTTCTACATTTGGATGACATTGATATTAATGGGCACCGGATGACTGGGAGGTGCGGAACGGGGTCCCTTTCCCGAGTTGAATTCATAGAGGAAATCGTTGGAGGAAAGCGCAACGAGCGCACAGGAGAAGTGTTGAAAGAGAAGTTCAAGGAAAGGTGGCTGCTTTTTACCAGAGAGTCGTGATTCACTGCAAAGGCCAGGCCACCACGGCCATCAAATTCATGGGAGAGATGAGGATGATGCTTGTGGTTTGCGAAAAATGGAAAAGCTTGGCTCGTCAACTTTAAGAGCAGATTTCACCAATGAAACCTGTCGCTGTCTCGGCCAGGCAGCCTCATATCTGTGGTGTTGGTGCTGATTTGTAAAGCCTCGTCTGCTTCTCTTTTCGTACCCTTTCCCGTACGTGACTTTGCTTCCCCTGCTTTAACTTTATGGAGCTTCGGACAGGCTGCAACGTGTTCAGCACGCACTAACTCCCCCACTTCCATTCTATTACTAAAAAAAGTAAAAAACAACTCCCCTCTCCCTCTGTCTTCCACCCTCTTGTTTTCCGTAGCTTGTGCCCTAGCCTTTGTCAGAAGCACATGCCAAAATGGTTCTATTCTTCGTGACTCTAACAATAATGACCATAGGATATTCCTTTTATTTTTTTTATAAATTATTTATATTAATTTTATTAATATCAATATAAAAAAATAAAAAATAAAAGTATGTAGAATTTAAAATAGACATCTATATAAAAAATTTAAAAAATAATATCATATTATTTTTTTCTTTTATGAATGATAATTTTAAAAATACTTTTTAAATATTACCTAAAAATCCGTACCGTAACTTATAAATAAAATCAAATACACCTTTTAGAATGTGCCTTATAAAAAAGGCCGAAAGGATTATATATTTCCATTATTAGTGTGTGTTTTTTAAATACAAGGTCATGGTGAAACCATGCAGGGAAAAATCAATTCATGTCAAAGCAAATAATGCTTATGCACTCTAAAGGTGGGCTGACAAAAATTGTAGAGTCTAAGGCATTTTTTTTTTGTTTTTTGCTTTTGAAAATAGAAAAATTTTAAAACTTGTTTGAAAAAGTGTTTTTCATTTAATTGTTTTCAAAAT